CCCCCCCCCCCCCAAACCCCCGCCGTTCCTCCCGCCGCTCCCCGCCGCTGCCCGGGGCCGGCCCGGCTGGCAGGGCTCGATCCGCGACCGGGAGGAGCGGGGGGGAGATCCCGGCGGGGCGGGGGGCGCCGCGGGGCCGCGGCCCCGGGGGCGGCGGGCGGGGGGTTAGGCTGTCCGGGCGCGCCACCCCGCGGCCGCGGCGGGGGCGGCGGCAACGGGGACACCCCGTCGGAGGTGAAGCCCCTGTCCCCACTGCCGCTCACCCCCCGCACCCCTCCCTTTCGTTATTTCCCCTTGCGCGTGTGATTTCAGCAGCGAGCTGTCCTGCCTGCCGTGCAGAATTAGTTCTTCTTCTGCCTACTGAAGCTCCTGAGATTTTGTAAGAGCCAGGAGTCGCAGTGGTTTTGGTTTTTTTTTTTTTTTTCCTAAGTCAGGACGAAATCTATGCACCAACGTATAGAGTGAGAACACCCGGAGGAGTGAAGGGGGCAGTGGTGGATAAGGTTAGGGTAACGGTTTCTTCCAGGGAGCGTGAGGTTTCCAAAATTTATTCTCTATTTTCCTTTGTCAGAGTAGAACTGTGAATTCCAGCTTTCAGGCCATTGCAAGAAGAAGGCCAAAAGCAGTTAAAGAAGCTGGTTAGTGCAGCAGCCTCTAATATTTTATGGTCTGAAAATTGCATTTAAAATTATGTGAGCTAAGTTTGAAATGTGCTGACTTTTCTACAATAAGAAGGAAACCCCAGAGCAGAGGCTGCACTGAACAGACCAAGATAAAATGCTGCGAGGTAGCTGGACACAACTTTTCTTCTGTATGACCTACACTGACATGTAAGTTTACTCTGCAGTAGGCTGAAGAGAAACATATTCTACTTCTGCTTGACTACAAGCCTTCCCCTAAACATTTGAGATGCATTATGCTGCAATAAGATAGGTTGTACTGAGCAGATATTTGAAGGATATGCTGAAAAGTTAGGACATGGGTAGGTTTTGTCTTCTGAATGCAGAAAGATTTGATGTTGGAAGCAAGAAGTGAGAAGAACTGAAAATACTTTTAATTGCATTTATGTCCACCTGGCACCTGGAATGCCACCAAACCAGGAGTCCTTACCACTATCAGCTGAGTTCGGCAACTGGAGGAAGAATTTAAACATTTTCATGGAGCTGGGGGGTCTCTCTCTCACTTTCTAGTTTCCATCTTCTGTCTTCTCTGAAGCAATTCATCCTACCATAAAGACAGAGCTGTCTCAAGGCTTCTAATTACTGTAAGCCAACCCAAAATTTGTATGGGAAAGGAGAGGGCAGAGCAGCTTGGGGTTTGGAGGAAGAGTGGAGAACAGCGTGGCAGAGTGTGAGTGAGATGTTGAGGGTTTTTTCTTGTGTCCAGCTTGTAGCCTTCTCAAGGCCTTTCTTCCTTCCTCTGAAGGGTGTATTTTCTCTCCCTTTCTCTCACCTTGCAAAGGTGTCTTTGCAGCCATCTACACATTTCCATCCCCATCGTCTGGCAAGAGGAATCCCTTGTGTTCCCCCCCTTGCCAGAAACCTGTACTGGGCCATGGCAACTGCTGACGTTGCCAATGCTTGAAGTTGGCTTTGCTTAAACAGCAGAGATTGGGTTAGTAAACAGAGCTTGAGTATGTGGATGTAAATATCAATGCTGCCTAGTAGGACCACTGCTCTGGTCTGTAATGAGAATTACCATTTTCATCAAGTTCCTCAGCCTGGACTTCTTCCAGTTCTACTGATGTGTAGTTAGTTCATTATGAGCAACAAGTGGTTCATTATAAATTATGAAAGTCTTGCCTTCCAAGACTGCCTTTGTAAGTAGTGAACACTTGAATGTAGTATTTCAAATGGGAGGCTCCTATGCATCTACTGAGGGTTGTGTGTTTTGTTTTTTTTTTTTTTTCTTTTTAAAGAGTGGCAGAAGGGAGCCATAGTTCTCCACCCATTTGCTTGCAGAAAGTCTCTCTATAAAGTGAAGTTAGTTATGGGTCCAGCTGGGAAAACTTCAGCCATCACAGTGGAATGACATCAACCCAGGCACCTCTAAGGCTTTCTATATGAACTAGCAGTTAGTGAATGAACTTTCCTTCGGGCTCACAGAATTCAGCTACAGAGAAATATCAAATACCCAGACGCTGAGGAAGGGTTGAGAAAGGGAGGAGTATTCTAGGAAAGAACATAGAAAAGACATTCTTGAGCCTGACAGAACTGGGTTTCTTAATACCTTGTATCTGTTCAACAGCTGTATTAGGGCAAAGCAAATTAAAACCAGCATTTTTGCATTAATATCACATTATTTGTCATCAAACATGCTAGTTTGTGGCAGGCTGAAAATAAAGAAAAGGAGATGCTTCCTCATACAGCATGTAGTTAAGCTGTGGAACTCCTCAATGCAGAACAGTGTGGATACAAAACTTTATGTGGGCTCAAGGGAATACTGGGCAACTATAGAAGAGAAATCCACTGAGGTTTCCTCACTACAGAAACCACCTCTGGTTTAAAGTCCATGAGGTGCAACTGGCTGTAAGGGAAGAGACTGTGAGGGAGGAGGGACATACATGGTTGCCGTATTCCTGTGCTCTATCCTAGGCATTTGCATTTGGCCAGTGTCAGAGACGTGATTTTAGGCAAAGTGGACCTTTGCTCAGGCCAGAGAAGCTATTCTTATGTTCTCATCATAGTATTTCTTTATTTTGACACCTTATCATTTATCCATAGATACATAAAATTATCATTCCTCTTCAAAATTAGTACTAATTGAGTAATAACCAAAACAATACTTTGAAGGTGACTTTGTATATAAAAGTTAATGTTTAAATATGTGCATTTCTGCTATACCAATAACCTAGACTGGTACGGTCAAGAGGTGTCTCTCTGCAAAATCTTGTGCCTAGGATGACTCTGCTCTGTTTTTAAAACCTTCAGATACCTTTTGGTATGACCACATACATCCCAGAGCTTAGGCCTGTGAGTCACTGCAGTCTCCAGATGTTTAATGAAAGTCCACACATCTTCTCCAAAACCTGAGTTAGATACTTTAAAGCCAGGGTGGGTACCTTTATACTGCATTGTAACGTGTGGTTTATGTATATCCTACTAAGCCAATTCTGGGTCAAAGTTGGTGTTTCCATGCAGGAGAAGGTGAAAAGCATCAAAAATTAAGCTAAAACAAAACCGCCCTCTGAATCTGGCATCAGAAGCAACAAGCTGTATTTGAACCATAGTGCTTAATTAGTTCAAAAGTGATAATTGTTACCTCTTATAGGCAAGAACTATGTCTATATGGCGAAGATGCCTCAAAATTACAGGAGTCATTGGTCCATTATACAGCTTTTAAAGTGATGTTACCACTTCTTTTACCAGGTTGTGCACATGCTCCTCTTTTTCCATGCTAGATCTTTAGCTGGCTTGTAACCAGGTTGTTTCACTGGATAGCAGTACTCATTCTAAACTAAGCTCAAGAAAAGGAAAGTGGTTATCCTTGCCCTGGTGTACACTGCCATTACAATGTAAACCAGAGAGCTTAACCACATACATATCCTTGAATTGCTTGGCTTTTAAAGTTTAATCATAGGCCCTTTCTTTCTGCACAGATGAAGTTTCCATGTAATTGGAATGGAAGATATGAGAACAGAGCGCAGCCTTCCCAATGTCAGCAGCTAGTAGCTAGTTAATGCCACTGACATCACTGCTGCCAAAGGAGAAAAATGGTCTTTTCAGTAGCATTCTGAGCTCAGAATCAAGACTTTTGGGTTCAGTTTCTGGCTCTGCCACAGACTTCTAACAATTTTACATTCTTTCTGCGTGTTTTCCAACTACAGATGGGAATAATAGTGCTTTTTGTCTTTCCCATTTGAAGTATTAGCTCTTTATGTGGTGCTTCACCCCATCTAGGTGGGGCATTCCACATGTGACCATAAGACACAGACAGCACAGTTCCTGCAGCCCTTGTGGGATCCTGCAGGAAAAAAGGCATGTGATGAGTCAGCAAACTTGTCCCTCCTACTTGGCTACGCTTTCCTGCATGTGTATAACCAGGACACTGCTCTAGACCAGCAACCTTCTACTTTCCTCACTCATCTGTCCCCTTCAGCCATGGATTTTGAAATTCTCTGGCATCCTGAGAGACATTCAGACACCCACACATAGGAAATGAATGAGGTTTTGGTGGCCATGGTACAAAGGAAGATACAGTGCAGGATCTGAGGAGACCCATGCCTTTCAGAGGAGCAGAAGCTGAAACGGGATTTGCCTCCTCGTTTAGGTGCCCAAATTGCTCCATCTGTCGTGTCCAGACAGCATACAGTTTGAAAGGGGAAAGGAGATCTTTCTTGGCTGATTCCTTGGGAGAGCAATTAGCGAAGTGCCATGTTCCATAGCAGCCAGATTCACAGGTTTTAGCTGGGTGGGTAATGCAGAACCACTGGTGACTTTTAGGTCATTTTAAAGCGGCTACTTTTTGGCCAATACATGAAAGAACACAACTGATCTGGTTTCCTAAGGGTTTCTGAGTCTCATGAGTGTAGTCTGTCTGCTTACCTCTGTCTGGATCCCAACTTTTGAATGTGACTTTTGAATACATTTGTGGTTTTCAACCATGTTCTACCTACAACCAGTAGCTATAGAGAAGATAAGCAGAAGTGTAAAATGTAATTGAATTCCTACGGGATAAATAAAAACAGGGCACTATACAGAGTGGAATGACTCAGACTATTGCCCCACTGAGGGAAAAGCCGGTAAAACTCAGCTGTTTCCACTTTCCCATAGGTAGCTCAGCATGGATGCTGGCTGACTCATCTGTGCCCATCTTGCTAGAGACCACTGGAAGCATCAGAGGCAATACAGGGAATATCTGATGCATTTCTATTTTGAGCAGAGTGTTAAATTCTGTTTCACTGATGTCAGTGCTAATATTGCATGATTATACTTTGAAGATACTAAGATAACTGTGTGTATTTCCAATGCATATTTTCAAATCTCTCTTTCTTGTTTTAGAAAAAAAATAGATAAAATGGAGCACATGTTACTGCTATTCCTATTTTTCATACCTATATTTGGTCTCACTAATGGAACAGAAACTGAACAAGATTTTACTTGGCACTTAAAGAAGATTCCCCAGATTGTGAGTGAAAGAACTTTCTCCCTTGACAGACCTAAATTTGAAGCAAAAACCAAATTAGAGCTGAACAGTGTATGTGGAATTGAATGTCAAAGAAAATTGCCAGTGCCAAACTTGTCTGACTTGAAGGACCTTTTATCCTACGAGACCGTTTTTGAAAACGGCACACGGACCCTGACTGAAGTGAATGTCCTCGGATTAGCGCTTGATCCAGCTGGAAACACAACCACACGCAGGTCGTCGAGAAAGAAGAGGCAGATATATGGAACGGACAGTAGGTTCAGCATCTATGACAAGCGGTTTATGACCAACTTCCCCTTCAACACGGCGGTGAAGATCTCCACCGGCTGTAGTGGCATTCTCATTTCCCCCAAGCATGTGCTGACAGCTGCCCACTGCCTGCACAACGGCAAGGATTATGTTAAGGGCAGCAAAAGATTGAGGGTGGGCCTGATGAAGACAAAATCCAGAGGCGAAGGCAGAAAACGCAAGGGTGGTAAAAGAAGTAGGAGAGAAGCTTCTGCGGCCCAAGAGGGTCCCGAAGTTGCCACAGAACTAAGGCAACAATCCAAAGGTGGTGGGAGAAAGCAGAGGAGATCTGGGAGAAAGCAGGGGACCTCAGATGGCATGCCCTCCTTCCAGTGGACCAGGGTGAAGAGTACCCATATCCCGAAAGGCTGGTTTAAGGGTGTCTCTGGGGATATTGCGCTGGATTATGATTATGCTGTTCTTGAGCTCAAGCGTCCCCACAAAAGGAAATACATGGAGCTGGGAATCAGCCCAACAATCAAAATGATGCCTGGGAGCATGATCCACTTCTCAGGTTTTGACAATGATCGGTCTGGGCAGCTGGTCTATAGATTTTGTAGCATTTCTGATGAGTCCAACGATCTCTTTTATCAGTACTGTGATGCTGAGCCCGGCTCCACCGGATCTGGCGTCTATCTCCGTCTTAAGGAGCCGAACAAAAAGAAGTGGAAACGCAAGATCATCGCTGTTTACTCAGGCCATCAATGGGTGGACGTCAATGGTGAACAGCAGGATTACAATGTAGCAGTAAGAATTACTCCTCTCAAATATGCCCAGATTTGCTTCTGGATACATGGGAATGATGAGAATTGCACACAAGGCTGAAGAGAGCCGAACCCAACTCGCTTAGCACCCATATTACCATAGAGTGAAAGTCTGCTGCAGCAGTTACTGGAAGAACATCATTCCACGTCAGGATGTTTTTGAATTCAAAGCTCACAAGTAATGTTACGGTGACTTGAGGAACACTGAATTGCTGGGGGATGGGTAGAATTGTCAAACAAAATATCTCTAATTTCAATCAACCCTAGATATGCACTTAAAATCCCAAACTATATTATGTCTGCAATTGTGATAAATCCAAATCGTTCACATCAGAAAAAAAATGACTACACCAGTTTGTCATTTTTTTTTCCAAGGGGAGAATTGAAACATCTCAAACTGGTTGTATTAAACAATATCTGTTCTTCCAGTGGATTTGCTTTTCTCAGGGTTCTGTTCCAATTCTTCAAATGCAAGCTGTGCATACAGCACATTACTGTATGTGCAGAATGATTCAGAGAACTGCATGAGACCAAGACATTATTTTAGCATTCTCTGAAGACTGCAGAAGCAGCAGTCTAGTTCATACTTGTTACCTTGGAAAACTTCCTCCTTTGGTTGCTGCAGGAACACATCCATGGAAATCCCAAATTTCTGTAGCTGAGGGTTAGACCTTAAAGACAAGTTTCACTTCACTGCCCAGTGAAAACAGCAAAAAGAAATTAATGAACATAGAAGTTTCCATGTTTGGAAGAATAAGAAATATCAGGACATAATTTAATGCCTTTAAATCTTCTTTGAGAAGCTATAGAAGTCTGAAACACATGCATTTGCATTCCAATTAGTATTTGGAGAGCTGTAGGTTTAGTTTCTAGTCAAATGTTTAGCTTTACCATTAGGAGAGGTCACTGACTTCTGAAGTGACTATCTGACAATCATTTAGAGCTTCACAGATGATAGATTTTTTGGGTGCTAACTATTTTTGCAGATTTTATGAATTACTTTTATATGAGTTCAGCTTCATAGATAAGATGGTATGTACTAGACTGGGAGTCGGAAAGGAATATTTTAGTTTGGCTTTATATGTTTTTGCAAAATGAGTAGTTTTAATCATGCCATATTCAGACTCCACCTCAACATGAGTTACAAGGTTAAACTAAAAATTTCTCCCAACTAAACTATACCACCTTTTGAATGGTAGAAGAACTATCCTGTACATTATAACAGATATCTTGTTAGGTAGCAGCAGTAGTTAGCAAATAATTTGGTTCAATATGTTTGCTGAACCATATATTTAATGAAAACACAAAGTGAGCTTGACTTTTACACACCTTTAAACACAAATCACCTTTTAAAAACTGTTGATTGCTACACAAGTCTATATCTTTTATTTTATATCAAGACTTTGAAGTGCACAGGATTGTTATGGTGCTACATTAATCCAATAATGTAAAATGATACTGTGTATTTCCGATCATATCCTTTGGGTTTCAGTACTTTTAAGATTATTCACCATCACAATATTTTATTTTTTTGGATCATAAGTTTATGCTGACCAAAATACATTTTCTTCCTGTGCAGAAGAAAAAATCTAACAAGATTTTAAATTACTACTTTTTGTTGGTATCATTAAAATATGCTTGTAATATCTTTTGATGAAATAATTGTTAATAACCCACTTTTTGTAGATGATTGAAAGTATAAACCTGACACTTTGAATGTGCAGGCAATTTTCTTTGTCACATTATTGCCAAAGCATAAAAATTTAGGTCTTGCTTCCATACCATAACTCTAACAATAAGTCATTAATTGCTAGAGATCTCACTTTAAAAGAAACTATTTCTTTTAATGTCAGCATTTCCAGGGAACACTTAACTTTTTTTTTTTTTTTTAATTTTGTGTGATTGTTTGCAGAACACTAATAATGTTTAAAGTTTAGAAATTAATGTCTATGATTTTAAGGTTAATTAATTTTTATTGTTGTTAACGTCTCTATTAAGATGTATGGCTTTGCTGACAGTAATTTTAAACCACCTCAGTCCAGTATTTAATAGTCTCACTCTATGCAACGGGCCCACACTATTCTTTAGTTGGCTCTGTAATGTTTTTCGTAAGTGCCTTTTTCCATAGTTTACTGTGAAAAATAAGGCACCATATTGTTAATCCAATACAAGTCAGCCTAGGTCCATGACTTTTGTTACAATTATTCTCATTGTTGATTTGGGTCCAAAACTGATCAAGCTACGGTGGCTTAGTAAATTCCTTGTTTTGGTGAGTCTTATTTAGGTGTACTCCTTAGGAGCAGAAATACAATCTATTTCTTTATTAGTTTGGGAATCAGGAACAAGGTAAGAATGAAAAATGTTGATGTCAGCTTTCAAATGGTCTTATTATAATAATCATCTACTATAAATACCTCAGCCATGACCTGAAGATCTCATACCAGGCTGATAACAAATGTTTATCTTCATAGGATAAATATTAGATGTTCAGTACCTCATTTTATGGTACTAAGAGATTAAAGAGGCTGACCAGAGCAATACAAAATTAATCAAAACTATATATATATATACATATTCAAGCCTCTGTGTCTGAGTGCACATGCACAAACACATGCAAATGTAGGGGCTTGTAGAGCATGTGCTGTTTTGACTGGGTCAGCACCTTCAGGCACAAGAAGACATGGATGAAATACTATTCCTGTCATATCTGCACGTCAGGCAACTTTTCAGTCTGCCACCTGGCCTAATAGAGAAGGAAATGCTTTATGTAAGCATTGTGACTGCTTACTACAGGGACTTCTGAAATAGTTCATAAATTGAGTACTTACAACCCCAGGAGGCAAATGTCCCATTGCAAATGGGACAAGAATTTCTGAGCCACGATCATCTCAGATTTCCTTCAAAAACCCCTGCAGTTAGTATCTGGATATCAGTGAGAAGATACGAGGAGGGGGTGTACTTAGAAGATCAGATCTGCTGTTGTCTGGGTCACCAGCATCAAGGCTGGGTTCCCAGTCCAGAAGGGGACAGAGCCCTTGTGATGTTTCCCCAAAGGATTTTCCCCTCTTTCAAATACTGGGCTGTACATCATTTGTTTTCATCAGTACTAATACTTTTGCATAAAAGTTGCTATAGTAGAATGTTTTCCTTAACTGTATTCCTGGCTCTAGGAAAAATCAAAGTCGGTCAAATCCCTTTTCTGGCTACTGGCAATTTGTAAAGTTGAGAAGCGAGTTTTTCCCAGGTCAAAGATAAACCTCATGTACAAACCGTTAACATGCCCAGACCAGTTTCTGCAAGGCATTTGTGCATGTGTTTAACTTGGGGCTCTGAGACATACGATGAAAGTCAAGGGGATTATCTGTAATGTGAAAAATTAAGTCTAAATTTGTGTTGTTGTAACAAAAGAAGAACGCAATGTTAGGTCACAAAATTTTTTCTGTTATATGAGGTATAGAGTACCCAATGCTTTAAAAAATGCATAAAGAAACTCCTTGGCTCAGTCTATAATTTACCATCTAAATTTTGCAGATTTATGAGTCTGTACGGAGTATGAATCAGCACAGAATATGACTTAAGTAAGTAATAATTCATCTATACGTGGAGGAGAGAAGCAGTGGGAAGTTACTCCTATTCTGCTGATAAGGGGTGACCTGGCAGCAACAGCAATTAATACAGAAAGAGAGAGCAAGAGAAGTAGATGGTATGGAAGACCAGGAGGATGGAGGTGGTATACAAGGGATAAAGAAAGTGTGAAAAGTAACAGATGAAATGGCTGCGAGGTAGCAGAGGGACCTATTGTAAGAAAGAGTAGGCAGCTGGTAAAGGCACAACAGTGTAAATTAAGATATAAAAATCACAAGTTACGTGAACAATCTCCTTTTGGTGTTAACGATGAGGCTGTTCTTCCCAGCCAACAGCACCCAAGAAAGGGCTGTGAGAGGGCTCAGGTTCCAGCACGGACCTCTAGCAGGCAGGGGGTTTTGACCCTGATCTGCAACCCCTGCCCAAAATTGCAGGGATTACGCTTGTGCTCGTCTGGGGTGCGTGGGAAGCAACAGATCCTTATCTTGGCCAAAAGGCTTGGCAGCGTAAACCTCCCCACACACTGGGTCACCAAGAGTACAGTGAGTAAGGGGAGTTTCTTTCACTTGAAAGTTTCTCAAACCTGACATTTTGTTGGGATTACTCTAAAGGCTGTTCCCCATTGGAAAAAAAAAACAAAAACAAACAAAAAAAAAAGAACAAAAAACACCCCCCCAAAAAAATCCCGAACAAACAAAATATCTCAGATTTGAAGCATTTAAATGTTGGCTCTATTTTTTGCATGTAACTACAAATTCTAGGCAATAAATTTTTTTCAAATACCTTCTGCTTATGTTTGGTCTCTTTGTAGAAATTTAATCAACTGCTTCAGATTTAAAGCACAGAATATTGCAGATACTTCCATCTACAAATTCCTGGATTAAAGAATGAATGGGGAAAAAAAGATAAAGAATACAGGTAAATTGAAAGCTTAAAATTGAATACTAATCTCAAAGGATTTGGAAGTATATTTGAGTCCCCGTTGCACCAGCCTTTTGCTCTGAGGGTGAGATAGATCGCATTTTGGTTAAAAACCTTCAGAGGTAGCTTTGATGATTCTTTAACATTCTTAACTTCTTAAAGACTGACAGCAAACTTCAAAAAATGTGTTTTTTAATAATTTTAACTGCACAAAATGACAATGCATTTGGGAAAATAAATGCAAACCTTTATTACATTAAGATATTATATGATGCACATACTATGTCAATAAATATTTTCTATTTTCTTTTCCTCTGCCATGATGTAGTTTGTTAGCCACAGTGGTGTTACACAAACTCCATTCTGTAAACGCTTATAGCACGTTATCAGTGAATCATCTGGGACGTGGTCTTGCAAGATATTAATGTCTCTTTAAATTTGTTCTGGGAAAAAACCTCTCTATCTACTCCTGTCTTCAAGATAATTACTCCATGAACAAATTTGATGAGTAAAAAAAGAATTGGTTCAGCAAGGAAATGACTCACAGACTATGCCACAACTTATTAATTCTGAAATAAGTAATTAGTTCTGTTTCTGCTATTAGCTATTGTATTTTCTACCCCAGAGAGCTGTTGAACCAGGCCAAATTAGAAGTGCATAAAATATTATAATCTTGGTTCTCAGCACTATCTTAACTCTGTGCCCTCGAAACTGGTGCTGATTTGATCACTGACAGTAAAAGGAGAGAATTTTGGCAAGGATGAGAGCTGCTGGAAATATTTAATGGAAAGTTTAGAAATGATTACAGCAGTGATTAGCAGTGTGTCTGATAGGAGCAATATTTAAGAGGGGTCTGGCAAGGGCTTCCCAGCCAGCTCTGGTGGTCCTTACACGGGAGAAGAGTAAGGGCCTCAGCGGAATAAATAGGATCAACAGCTTTGTCACCTGGACCTAAGTCTATTTGGGTGTGGTAACAGGATCTAAATAATTTCATTGCTGGAGTTTACTTTTTGTCACCAAAATATCAGATACACTGGAAAAGCTACACAACTATTTTACAAAGATTGTGCTTCTTGGCAAACATGTATGCGCTGTAGTTATTGCAGTTGCTATGGCTTTGCTTCTTTTCCATGTGAAAGAGTTTGAAAACATTGGATGAAACCAAGCTGGGCTGGTTTTCAGACAAATTACTCAGCTGCCCTTTGGCTGCAGTTGCAGCATTCTCCCACCCCTCCCCTCCAGTTTAGTTTCCAACTTGATTGATTAAATGCTGTTTTAAGCTTTGCTTAATCAAAGATAAAAGCAGCCAGGAGATGGCACAGGGCGAAGGACCCTTTCTAGCCATACCCCTCTGCAGATATTTGGAGGCAGGGCAGGCCCCAGAGGGAGAAGAGGACAAGAGAAGGCAAAGGTGAAGGCTGTGATCAACAGCAAAAGAGCGCAGTGCCTTACTGACTGGAAGAAAATACGACTTCTGTTTTTCCTACCGTGAAAGGCAACCCTAGTTTTTACAATCCTTTGCCTTCTCTTGAATGATTAACCCATCAGCTAAATATTGTTGGCTCTTGTACAGGAGTGAACCAACCCACTCAGTGGAGGGGATACAACGTGCCCTTGAGTGCCATCAGGGGCCTCTCCTCCCCAACACAAAAAAAAATAATAATAATAATAATAAATTTTAAAAGGTGAAGTTACCCCAAAGGAGATTTACTAGTAATGTGAAGGGAAAAAAATATAATTAAAAAATAACACAAGCACCATATTTTTGTTTAAGAAAAAATGGGATATTCTGAAAAATATGTATGCATAAAGGCAATGGAGTCTTTATGTGTGGCATATGGGTTTTTCTGCCATGCTTGTCTATGCAGGATGTGGATGTGTTCCAGAGCTGTGGTGAGTTACATGGCTAAAAAAACACCAGTTTCTGGTTGCCTATCCCACCATCTCCCCACAGGGACAGGGATTTATTGTGCCACCAAACTCTTGCTGCTTATTGTGAGTTTGAGCTCAGACCTGGTCTTCTTAAATGGTGGACATGAACAGAGGCTGCCAGGTACATGGGCACTGACATTTTAGGTTTTTATACATTTTGCTCTATGTATCCGTGGAGGATGTATGAAGTAATTTTTAATAATTGTTATTATAAAAATTATAATAGTTATATACTGTTGAAACAGTAAGCTCCAGTGACTAAACAAACACTGCACCACATTCTCCTCTCATTTACAATGGTGAACCTTAGAGGGAAATTTGACCCACTGCATATTATATGTATTACTTGCTATAGAGTGTTACACACTAGGCATTTATGATCTGTAAACAGGTTTATTTCTTTTAGAAAGAAATAAAAAGGAAGCCAATACTCAAAAAGGAAAGTAGCTTTGACAGTGTTCAATCCAGATATGATACTTTGTTGCTTGTAAATTAACATGTTACAACAGTGATGTGTGATCAAGCAATGCTGCTTATACAACCGAAGTGCTTGAGTCCTTCACTTCTTGCTTGTTGATTTTTTTCCTTACTGGTGGGACTAAATAAAATCAGGCATCTGTGCAATGACCACTGTGGGGTTAGTTTTCTGTCCGTACTGGGAGAAGAGCATCCACAAGCTTAAAAAAAAAAAAAAAAAAAAGTAATACAAATGCCAGTAATTGTATTTTATTACCTTCCAATGACTTTGGAAGCAGTTTTTGCTCGGTTATTTTGATGTACAAGTGGTATACCACACGAACACACACAAGGAGGGGCAGCTTTAAACTTGTCTTCAGCTTGAAGGTTCCACAGAGATTGCATTAGCTATCTCCAGTTACAAGCACAAAAGAAATGCCATACAGTATTTGTGTTGTTCACAGTACAGCCTTCACCTTTGCATCCTTCACATTAACGGCACTAATTTTGCCCCCACCCTACATTCTACCCATTTATCATCAGGCTAATGAATCACCCTTTCTTGATTTTCTTTTGCATATAGGAAAGTTTACATACAGGCCACTTTTGAACTTGCTGATGTGCTTTTTTCACCTTGATCCTTTCCCTAGGAGTTGTTTTTCATGTCTTTGATGCTTATCTTATGGCAATTATTTTTATAGTGGGGCAAGGTTCTGGCTTTCCCTGCTCCAGTAATGTATGGACTTGATGCTGCTGGTCCCCACTAGGACAGCTGGGAAACGTGTGCCTCTGTCCTATAAGCAACAAGCTCCATCGATTCTCCATTCACTTCTGGGTGCTGTGTCTTCAAACAGCTTTACATCAGGCATGCACACAGCCGAGGGATGAACATGACCGGGGAACCCACCTCCTGCTCTGCTGCAGAGACCTTGGTGGAAATTCATCTGGGGTGGGCACAGAGCCCCTTCTAATAACCCCACCGCTGATGTACAGGCTCAGACATCCCTCATCCTGTGAATCTCATGCTGTGCCTCTCCCACCACACACAGCACATCCTCCCATCCCATCCCAAACTCCCTCCTGGAGAGGAAGGACTCCTTGACTGAGAGGGACAGTGCCAGTCAGGGCCCCAGCCAGGAGCTGCACCGGGATGGGGGCTCCCTGTGGGGCTCACCTTGGCTCCCCTTGCTCCAGCCTCTCCTTCAGCGCCTCAGTTGACCACATCATCTTCACAGTCCCACTGTGGCTGCACTTTCTCAAGGTCCTGCTCTTTGAAGAGGGGCTAGTCTCTCTCTCGATACTTTAACTATTTTTAATTCACCGTTTGCAACTTCAATTCATGCATTCCTGCCCATCTTGAGTTCTCTCTGTTGTTAAATGCCAATTTTTAACATTTTTTTTAATTGTGCCTGCTTTGGGATTTCACCTCATTTTCCACTTGGACACCAAACACCTAAAATTAAACTAAAGAAATAATTCCTGGTTCTATAGAGTGAGGAATTTGGCATTCTGTCCAAGAGAAACCACTTCAAAGTTCTATCAAGGTAACAGCTGCAAACAGAGAGCTAAAGGCAAAATCACTGCAAGCAAACCAGTGTTCATAGCTCCAAAACAATGCACCGAATCTGGAGCCAGCCTTGGGAAATGCTTTCATAAGCTCTGACTCAACGTAAATGCAGGCTGCCAGCTGAAGGAGCGAACTTGCGATGTCCCTTACAAAACAGCTCCGAGCTGCCCCGACAGCTTCTCCTGCCACAGGTGCTGACTGAGGGAGAGATCACAGGCTCTGGACCCCAGCAGCAGGCACAGGGTTTAATCTCCTAGACACATCCTACTCTCCAAGGGAAGAATTTCGCTGATGTAACTGACTGCAAAACACCCCAATAATTTGATGCTATTAATCAGATTACACTAACTGGGCTGTAACTAGCCTTGCAAGATCCACTGGAATAAGTTTCAAGCAAAAAGCAAGCGATCCCCAGCAGGGAGATGTGTTTGTGTGGGAGCCACATGTGCTCAGCACCTGGAGAAACTCAGCAGGAACCTTCTCGGTAGCTGGCTGCAGGCAAGGTTTATCACACCAGTTATTTAAGACTGCTGCCAAGATAATGTCTCATTGCAGTGGTACAGTCTTCTAGGGCTAATCCAAGGACTAAGCCTGGAAAAGAAAAGCTATAGATGTTGTAGATAGGTCTTATCTGCAGGATTTCTTTATGTACCATTTGAGAAAGGAAAAAATTACAACTCTACAGAAGGGGTGAAGACTTCATATTCCAGTATGTACAGTGAAGAGCACCTGCCTTTTTCCCCCCTCAATACCATTAAACAGCAGAAATGTAAAATGCTCTAAATATTGGAAAGAACTTAGGGAACTTCATGGTTTGTTATACCCCTATAGCAGCCCTTTTTTTAATGTGCAAGGTGGAGCCAGGGCTGTAAGTACAGCCTGTCTGCTGAGCCCATACTGGTCCTCGTGTGCTCAACTCTTGCCACATCATTCAGAGCCTGTGTGCAGAGCCAAAATTACACAGTCCTGGGACAGAAGGGTGCAGCCATGTACTTTTCCAGGCCACAGCACAGCTATTTTTTTATTTAGCAAAGGCTAAGCTTCCAGTCAAGTATTTTTAGACATAAAAAAAAAAAAAAAAAATCACATTTCTAGATCTAGAGGCCAGATCCCTCCTCCTAATTTGAAAGCAAACTTTTTGTAAGTTTTTAGGCTTGTCTCACAATGCCACTGTGGAACCAAGTATATCCTGATAGAAACATGATAAAGTTACAGCTGAGAGATACAAAACTGGTGGGAAACAAGGTTACTTATGAAGCAGATAATTGCTAAATTAAACAAATTGCTAAAATAACTGCCAGATTCACAGCCATTCTTAAAAAGAAGACTTGACATGATTTTTTTTTCTACTACCTATTGACTAAGTGCATGGAAAGAAAATTTTCAAGCAATTAGGGTTTGGGGGGTGGTTATTTTGTTTTGGTTTTATTTTAGTGGGATGCCAATGTCATTCTCCTCTCAGCAGAGGGCTTTTTAGACAGCTCCACTAATTACAGAACTACGGGTTCAACAGTTAGTGCTACATGCCCTGGGGCAATCCAAAGGTGGTAGGTGCCGTTGGTGATGATGTTGAGAGAGTCTTCTGGAAGATATCTAAACAACATCCAGATATTATGGTGATTAAAATCCACAAAGCTTTCCATGAGAGTGGAGCAGTTCAGACCTGTGTCATGGCTAGATTACAGCTGGTAGCTGTATTCTGCCTCTCCCTATTGCCCCATATACATTTGTGGCATGTGAATGCAGCAGACCTCGCAAGGAAAAGAAACCGGTGTTCTGGATCTGTTAATACTACAACCATAATTATTCAAGAGGCACCTAAAACTCTCCCTTCTGCTATTTCCAGCTACTTGCATCATTACATTCATTGGGAGATTCCCCCAGATGGGGACATTCAGCTGCTGCTGACCCTTGCCTGCACAGTGGGGCATCTCACACCAGACACACTGTTCCATATGGTTTTGTATCTGGGGCAACCTCAAGCTTGCAACCCAGAGAAACTGCCGATATACCAGCACTACTCTGGTAAAAAAAAACAAAACAAACAAAAAAACCCCCAAAAACCCAAAACAAAACAAAACAAAACAAACATCTAGGGCTACCAAACAAAGTATTTTACTCTTACCAAACTTTATGTAGCACCTTTGATACAAAGAACATACAGATTCAGATTTTAGAGACCCTGCTGAAAATTAGGTATCATGTGTACATGTATGTATAGCTATATATGGTACAACAGTGTATAAACTATATGTATATATAACTATGTTCAATACATACATAGTAGCGTGATTTTAAATGTGATAAACAGTATCTGAAGAGGTGCTGATGATGCTACCACAGCATTTGAGACCCTGATCTTGTGCCCACACACTGCACTGTCTCCTCCCTCACCTCTCCCATCACCCTCCTGGGACCTGCAGCTCCTTCTTGTTTCTGTCTCTCCTGCCAGGCCCCTGAGCAAGCTGCATGTGGGAGAAACAGAATTTGAGGATCCTGCATTCAAAGGGCTGAGGGAGGATGAACAGTCTCATCTCCTACAGAGCCGATCTGCCCTGCTGGCTTTGCTGTACGCTGAATTCTCACAGGACAACTCCCCATGCACAGAGGTTCAACAAGCTGAAAAGCAGCGTGCGGAGACACATTCAGCCCACAGCCTCCCTCCTCCTCCCCAAATTTCTTCCCTTGCTGAAAGGATTTAGCAGTGTGCTGAGTCTTATTAATGTCACAAAGAGCCAAACAGTAATGCTCATTACTGAAATTCATTACATTGTCAAATTTCTTCCTTTGAAAAATGATTTCCTTTTAAATTTTTTATTCCTGATTTTGTTTTGTTTTGTTTGTTTGGTTGGTTGGTTGGTTGTTTTTTTTCCCCTAAATGACTCCACACGATGTACAAATGTATGCTGAAGGGCAGTCGCTTAAACCACAGCTCTTCGGGAAGGGCTCTAAGAGCATAGAGGGGTGTGGGCTGACCATGGCCCAACAATGCAATCCTGCTGGGGAAAGTGCAGATGCCACACTTGGATCTGAAACTGGGAGCCTGGCTCAGAAGCTCTGGGACATTGCATTTCTGTTACACATAGCACAGGCGTGCCTTCACTCTGCTGCTGTGTCCCATTTTGGATGCTACACTTCATGGGAGGCGTGGACCAGCTGAAGAGAGTGCAGAGAATACCAAGATTGATCAGATATCTAGAAAACTCGATTGGCAAGGAAAGATTGAAGACAGAGGGCATAAGATGGAAGAATGACCATGGTAACTGTCCAAATACCATCTTGGCTGCTGCAAAGAACAAAGGGAGTATCCCCACAGACAGAAGAAATAACAGTTCCTCACACAGAGAGGAGGAATCAGGTAATACAGTAACAGCAGCTTTCTCAGCGTGAAGGTGATGATGTCCTGCAGTGGTGTTTGGAAAGGCTGTGGTGTGATGGAGGTCTCTTAGAAAAATCTGCTGGAAATCACACAATTTTGGCTTTAGAGCGGGGGAATGGAGTATGTGGCTCTCTATTTTCTGTGATTTCTATCTTATGAGCCTGCTCAGCAGTCTTAAAGTGGAAACTTCACGAGCTCTGAATGCGTTGCCTTTGCAACAGAGTGCAGCAAGCTGTGTTGGTCTTGTTTATCTGTAGCAGAGAGCCAACTTTTAAGTGAAACAGCGTGCACAGTTATACAGAACTTTTATGTTGGCAATGAAATGCTTTGGCCAAGAGAAAAATATTATATTTCACACAAGAGTCTGTTCCAGTACAGCATAGATTGAATCAGTTTAGCTCTTCAGTTTGGGTAGGGGAAAATTATTTCATTTTAGTTGCATCTCTCCTTCATCTCTGACAGGTCTATCAAAATACTGCACTTATCAGTTAAAGTTTCCAGCCACTGTAAGTTCAGTCTCAAATAGCAACGTCTGGCTGGCAAGCTGAACCATACAACTAGAAAAATAATATTCTGTAAGCCTGCCAGCTATTTTAAACATTTATTTTGAAGGCTACTTTAAATGAGAGAAGCACAACCACAACAGATCCTTTATGCAAACTGTGCTGAACTGGACTGTAAACAGTTCATACACAAGACCAGCTCCTTCATTTTAAGATTTCCAAACCAACTACTTGCAATACTACATCAGTGTAAGGTGTTTTACTTAAAATGTAAGTGAGGGCTATTCCTATATTAGCCCCAAAGGTCTAAAGGTACAGCAATGACAACATTGCAGGTTTGAGACGGGGGATTTTCCTTGCTAACAACAGAATGTGTCTGTGGGATACAGCCTGGTGTAGGCATCGCTGCAGCTCCCAGGGGCTTGTAATTCTTTTGCTGTTCTCTGTTCCTCTGAAATTTGCATTTGAGTGAAATACAGATGATTTGCCCATTTCTGAGTGTATACTCATCTAAAGAGAGATGGAGATTGTAAGTGTTAAGTTAGGAAATTCTTTGAGGTATTTCTAAAAACTGTTAAAAGCACAAACCACCCAAATCCACCCCTCAGCATCTGTTGAAAAAAAAAAAAAAAAAAAGTTGTCTGAAAAATACACAAGACAGGCTAAATGACAGAGTAGGATAAGAGTCAATCTTGATGATCAGCCATGAAGCCAAATGCCTAAAGAAGCAAACTATTTTAACAGATACGTAAGCTACTTCATTACAGTAAGTATTTGCCAAGATCCTGAAATCTGGGGGAAATCAATCCTGGATAGGAAATACTATCTTTTGGGTGGACAGAACAGTGTAACACTTTTCTAAATTACATTTAACTGTACTGATTACACATGTGCAAGATGTATGTACTAAAACCTAATATTACATCTTGCCAACCATGAAGAACATAATCTGTCAGGCTATGTTTTAAAATCTTCAGAAGATAAAAACTTCACTTACCAACCACAAGGTACACTTTTTCTAGATAAATGAAGATACCAGGTTCTGAAGAAACCAGGAAATCTTAAGCAAACATGGAAACGAGTATTAGCTGTTCTCCACTGTGTTGGGTTTCTGTGGCGGGGTTTTTGGTAGCAGGGAGGGGGCTACAGCAGTGGCCCCTGTGAGCAGCTTCTCGAAGCTCCCCCGGCTCCAAGTCAGACCCGCCTCTGGCCAGGGCCGAGCCAATTAGTGACGGTGGCTGCGCCTTGGTGGGAATGTATTTAAGAAGGGGAACCTGAGAGGGGGCTGGGGCTTGTGAGGAGGAGTTGGGAGAAGGACACCTGTGGGAACACCCAGGTCAGTGGGAAGCAGGTGGGAGGAGGTGCATCACAGCAGAGAACCCTGTATCCTGTGGTGAGGCGGCAGGGCCGCCCCCCTGCCACCCATGGAGGTCCACGGTGGAGCAGAGGCCGACCTGAAGCCTGTGGAGGAGCCCAAGCCAGGAGAGGCTGTGCTTAAAGGAAGCCAGGACTCCGAGGAGAGAAGCAGCCCCCGCTGTCGTGATTCGGCGCTGGGAGGACTGCAACACCCGGGGGTGACCCACGATGGATCAGTGTGGGAACGGCTGCGGCCCGTGGGGAGGGCTCACTGCGGAGAAGGTTCCCGGAGGGCTGTCTGCAGGGAGAGGGGAGCCCCGGGGGGCAGGGGAGGGGTGTGCAGCGTTCCCCCCACCTCCAGAGAAGGGAGGAGCGGCGAGCTGGCCGTAACCCCCATCCCCTGCCCCCTGTGCCACTGGGGGAGGAGGTAGAAAGACGGGGAGCAGAGCTGAGCCCTGGGAGAGGGGAGGGGTGGGGGGAGATGGTTTTGGGTGTGGTGGCACTTCTCACTGTCCCACCTTGTCTGTTAAACGTTGTCTTTGTTAGTGTTTGAATTAAAGTCATGTTTTGTTTTGTTTTTTTTCCCATGACTATAATGGATGAGCTACCTCTCCCTCTCCATACTTGGATTCCTGATCCATTTTGCTTCATATTCTCCTTCCCATTCCTGAGAGGAGAAGGGGGGAGTGAACAGCTGCGCTGTGCTCAGTTGCCCTCTGGGCTCAAACCACAACATCCAGTTTAGTTACAGGGCTGCTCAGGAGAAATAGGTTTACTTAGTAGTATCTCAGACTAAAAAGTGTGAGGAGTATTACAGAATTATACACACACACGTTAGTTTTGTAATTACTACTTACAATCCTAAACAATAGCCGAGCACTTAAGCAGAAAATCTGCTTACTGTCACTATGTGATTTCTTTACTATGAAAAAGAACAGCATCTTTTGTGTGGTCTCTTTGTTAATAAATGGGAATCAACTCTCTCTCTAGTCTGTATGAGGACTATGGTAGCAAGAAGGTGATTTCATCTGTATATCTTGGTTTTTAAAATATAAAGGGAGTTTTAGAGAGAAAAAAAAAAAAAAAAGGAATGAATTATTACCCAAATAACTAGCTTAATTGAATTTCACAGATGTTTAGGAGGGTGCTTAAAAAAATCTCTTGCACTAAACCAGATGCATTTCTGGGTGATGTGTATGCAACTGGAATTCATGAAGCTTTTGTGTCAATTAAGGCTTAGCTACAATGTACTGAATGCTGCCTTGCCTCTCTCCCTGTCTGGACCAGGACCATGCGTAGAGTAAAACATCTTAGGCATCCTACGGGCAGTCAAATATTTTGAGAGAGAAGCAAATTTCCAGCATGACTTGCCTTAGAGCCAAGGGCTCTATAAGCAAATTCTGCACAACCAGATCTTCAAGAAAGCATAATGAGCTCAGCAGATGCATTTCCATCAATCCCATTTCTGAAACGAGACCATTGTATCGAGCTACGGAAAAGTGTTTCAGTCGTGCTGCTGTAATAGTTCGCAGGAAGAAACACAAAGTGAATTGCAATGCTGGTGGCACAGGACCCAGGCAGTAAGGCAAAGTCACTACCTGCCTGCAAATTTATATAGATATCTAATTACTTATATTTGTATATTTAAAATCAGGACAGCTTATGTCCCGCAAAGTGCAAGGCTGAGCAAGGCCTGGTGTGTTTGTTCATCCCTGAGCAGTAGGGATGCTAGAGAGGTGGTAGATACTGTCATGATGGGGTGGAGGTGAACTGGGAGAGGTAACTAATCTGCTGGAAACCTCTTCTTCCAAGCACAAAGGGAATGGTGTGCTGCATCCCAATAGCATGCCCACAGAACTAGCTCCCATAAGCTAGTTCTCCTATTGAAGTAGAAAACCCAAAAGCTCAGTGGCTGAAGCCCTGTGAGCAACAGCAGATAGTTTGTGCAAAGGTTCCAAAGAGATCGGTAGATTCAAAGATGCTCTAACACCTAAGCCAGAATTTGTATAGTAACAATCTTATTTATACAGTATGCTGGCCTCAATATTACTAATTTTCCCCATTTTCTTCCTTTGCTAATCTACTAAACTTGTTTTTAACATGTCTCAAAAGAGAAAGTGAACTATTCTTCTCCTTGATTTTTCAAAATAAAGCCAAACTTCAAGGTTTGCAACTGCTCTTTCTGTTGGCTGGAGCCAGCATGGGATTATTCTAGTAAGGAGGGAAGAATCATCAACCCAGATTGACAGGGTGTAATTACTGACTAGCCACATCATAGATATATAAAGCATAATCTTACAATTAACTTTAGAATTTAACTTGTCCTTTGCTTTTATTTGAGCAGTGCTTCAAAAAAAATCCCCTTTATTTATACACAGACTCAGTATGAAGTAAATCCTTAATTTAAAGCCTGGTGTCTGCTTGCACCTGTACCTTGTTTTTGTGCACAAAACCTGTTTGCTGACATTTAATACCCAAGCTGCAGGCTGCCCACTCCCTGGGGTCACTCTGTACCCCCACTGCTTCATCGCCCTCAGTTACAGCCTGCAGCCCAAAGAGCACACCCTCTAACCCTCAGACCATTCCCTAGCACGCCCACCCCAGCCCACTTCTCTTGCCTCTCCCTAATGCACTATACCCACTCCCACACAGGCAGCCTCTTTCCAGACCTGAGTGGGCAACAGTACAGACAAGGAGTATGGGTAGGAGCAACGTGATGTTCTTAAGAGGGCAGGGGAGGATCCCTCCTACCCTGTGTGACAGAGATCCCACCAGTCTCTCCATAGTTATCACTGGTAACAACTAACCTGTCTCCAACTACCAGTTTAACTCTGGAAGACTGGCTCAGCTTTCCCTCTCATCTGAGATCATAGCTCCTTGGATCTTTGCATCTTTACAGTAGCTTCATGTGGCACGTGCCTTAATATACCTGCTGTTGCACTTATTGGTATGAAATCTCTGCTTCTAAAAGAGTGGCTTAGTGCCTCGTCAAGACCTTCAGAAAACATGGCTACTTTGGGTATTTATGTTATTGAGGTACACTGACAAATCTCTTCCACCATACTAAACTGTATTTCAAAAATGTGGGTCAAAATTCACCACAGTCCACCACGAACATTTGGATGTAGGTGCTTTACAGTGCTGTTGCAGGGCAGGCATTCATCAGACCCTTCATAGGTTTCCCTACACAGCCTGAGGAGAGGTTTGGTCTCCTTAGTCCTTGCAGCAGATGTCACACCCACATACATGTTTCTTCACTTGTTTCTGCTTCTTCTCTACCATCTTTGCTAACTCCCAAAGGCAACTATTCTTACACCTATAATTATATTCAGAGATGTCTTGGTCAAAAGAACAAGTATCAGGCTTTTTCTACCCACATCATTTGCAGAGTTTAGTTAAGGGAAAGGGAAGAGGTGGTGAAGCTTTAGGAGCCAAGATCTGGAACAGAAAAAATGGCAGTGCTGTCTGCTTTAAAATATGTACAGCCTCTCTCCTCCTGTAATCCCATCTCTGAAATTCTTATTTCATCCCCTCATTACCACTCAGCGTCTGCCACTTCCCACACTGCTCACAGCACTAGCAATATACAATACATGGAAAAAAAGGGTTTATCTTTTTAATAACATTTCTGATATATTTCATGTTCTAGAAGAGCTGGATCACTAACTTGGTGTATCATCTTCATGTCACTGCCCCTACTTCTACCAGAGGAAGTTCCATTTGGCTTTTCCAGGTATTAGGAGTTACTTGGACTTTTTTTTTTCCCCATGTAGAATAAGCTGCCTGAGCCAGCAGCTCTTACTCTGGGGCAAGAGATGAGAAAGGAAATGCAGGAGCAAAGATCCATGCCACAAAGCAAAACTATGTCAGCTGTTATGACTGGACTTTTCATGAACACTGTCACCCACCAGTAAGTAGCCCCTCATATTATCAAGTCTCAAATGCATTTACAAAACAAATCTTGCCCTCCTCTCCACCAGCTACAGTTTTTGCTCTAGACTTTCCTGCTTGGTTTTAAGGCAAGTCTCTAGCCCTTGCAGTTGCTTTACTAGATCTTAAGAATGGACATTCCAGTGGCAGCCTGATTTTGCAACCAGCCTGAAATGCTAAGGTGGTCCCTGGATCTTACAAGACACTTCAGTCTTCACCTGGGGAAACATCAGCATCAATCCAGAAGCCCTCGACTCAAGTTACAGTACATTTTGAAAGGCTTACATTATAAAACAGAACTAAAGATCTCAAAAAAAACATTAAAATTAATGATGAATGGGGAAGAGGATTTGGAGACACTGCTAACCCCAAATATTCAAAAAAATGAATCAGTTCTGAGGATTAAGTTTGGCTCTTTTGTTCAAATCTCAGTAAGCTGAGTTCATGCTCTCCAGGTATTTACCATTTCCTAAGGCACTCGAGGCTTAAGGGGGAGCTACCTAAGTCTCATGTGGCCAGAAGTGCCAGCTTCTAAAGAAGCCAGCACAGAGAACAGAAAGAGCTTGAGTAAGGGACATATCAGCTGTCCGAAACCTGTCCGCCCCTCATGAAGAATGCAGGGAAAGAAGAGAGTTTCTTCTTCCCACAAATGGAATCCCTCCTCCCACCCACTCTTCTCTACAGCTTGTACTGAGAAGTGGTTAGTCATAGCAGGACACAGATGCATTCATGCCTGGATGATGAAACTCGGATGATAACAAGAACACGTTCTTGTCCGCAGGCCAGAAGAAAACCACTTATTTTTCTTGCAAGCCATATTTTATAATCCCTTTGTGATGGGGAGAACAAGAGTTCCTTTTGTTTAGTCTTAGTCTGCATTCTGGGGAAAATACACAGGTTTTACTTCGCACAATGCATAAGCTTCTTGCTCTTCCACCAAGTTTGCTTTCTGTCCAGGCTTCTGTTTCCTCACAGGATATCAAATGCCACACATCCCGCAGGATTGCACAGAGCTGTCGGCCATGAGATCTATAGAAGACTAACAAGAACAAGGACCAAGGGTTGTGGACATGGATGAAGCTGACACAGAAAGGCAATTACTGCATGGCAGCGGCGTGTACCCAGCAAAGAAAAAGCCCTCACACTGAGGTTTGGCCCCTCAAAACATACAACATTGCAAACATTAATTTACAGTTCAGTGAGTTCATCATCATAATTTGAATGAGACGCTATTGAACCAGTCTGCCTATATTCACGTTTGGTTATGACTATCCTCTGAAAATGCTGTCCTTCCTTTGTGAAGACGTGCACAACGTGGTGGTAAGCAGTCTAGCGCTCCCTGCATTTGGCAACCCATAGCACATAGGAAGGATGGGCAAAACCAAGGTGAGGCCTTCTGGGTGTGCAGTTACTGACCCTGTTCAGGTCTTCATGCTCAAATAGTGAGAAAACACAGCAATTTGCTGAGCCTTACAGATTTCTAATCCAGAACACCCAGACTCAACAGAGCTGAAATATAAAAATCAGCTTTTCCAAGGCTAAACTTGATAGATTCAGAATACCAACATCATAGCAATTAAAAAAAAAAAAAAAAGAATAATCAAAAGCCCTCTTAAGGAATGGCACTCCTCTACTGGTTGTACAACTTGGAAATGTCTTTGAAATCCAACTCAAGATTCAAACCTTACCAGAGCGTGACTGAGTCTTTTCAGTGTTCTGTTGTTCTGCTTCAAAGTACTTTGAAGCAGCCCTATGCCATTCAGTACTGCTTCATCACTTCATTTTGTTGCTAAATCAAGGAGGTCTCTAGTTAATCACTTCATATCAGAAAGACTTGAATGTACTAAACTGTATGAAATGTTTTCTCCTCCGTCCATCCTGCCATAAGACAAACCACAGCACAAGCAATTCCTGCAGCATCGTAGCTGTGCTAGCTCTCAATAAGCTGCTGAATGATACCTCAAAAGAAATAAGTCAGGACCAGTATTATAAACTTTCCCTGTTCTAATACTGTTCTAGTTTAAGGAGATGAAGAGCTTTAATTAAGCTTTTGGAGGTGTTATAGGTCAAACTAATGAATTCTCCTGTCCCTGCATTACTTGTTGCTTTGTGCTCAGTCTGACTTTGTATGGATCTCTCCTGTACTGCTCAAAGATCAGCAAAGGTTGTTACCATGTGCAGCAGACTCAGCAATCAGTGTCAGGGCCTATATCCATTTTTCCCCTTTCGTATTATTGTACTCAACATCTCAATGATCATGAAACTGGCAACAAGATATGTACTTTGATCAAGGTGTTTATTGCATCTCAGAGGGCACACATGCACTGGGGGTTTGTTTTTTTTTTTTTTTTTGTTTTGTTTTGTTGTTTTTTTTTGTTGTTGTTGTTGTGTTTTTTTTTTTTTTTTAACTGAAATACAAAGAAGAGCCATTTTGAAATTAGCTTTTTATAGAACTTTCCCATTACGGTGTATGTTATCCCCACAGCAAATTCAGATACAACCACTTTTAATGGTACCATACATTGATTAAATAGTTCATTTGAAAGACTTTAGGTGAATATCTTTCCAACCCAATATTTTTTTTACAGAGAACTGCCAAGCCACTTGTAACACTGATCAACAGTGACCTCACTGAAGAGTCAAGATCTTACGCCAAGCCATCAGCAGAAACAGTATGAGAACAAATAAAAATTAAAGAAACACAGTATGTACAGTAAAGGGCATGGATCTCTGGATCAGAATTAAATCTAATCACCAATAGTACAAAAGCTACTCACAGAGCATTCGGTGCAATGGAGAAAACACTAGCCTAAGGCATACACAGGTAAGCACTAAATTAAGAGATGTACGTAAGAACTGAACAGAGATGAGTAACATCATTTGTAATGTTTTGACTACAGATATACCAAAGAGTGCTCTCGTATATGAAGTCCCTTAATGCCAGCACAACTATGGTTGCTTTTTCCAACTACATGGAGAGAAACTGACCCTTTACTTATTTTCAGTGCATTTTGCAAGAAATAATAAATATGCCAATTTTAAAGGCAAAAACTTAAATAATTAAAATGGATTTAAAAATAAAACCAGCAATAAATATGGTATTCTTTCAGATATGATTTTTCATTCTTGGTAAATCATCGAAAAAGTATTTGTTATGGAAGTTTACTTTTATATTACTTTAAATTATCTTAACATATACAGTGCCACAAAAATAAAACCTTTTTTCACGACAATTGAGATTCCTGTGATTGGAAAAAAAACCAAACCAAAACAAAACATGTATTCCACACAATTTCCTAAGTATTTTCCTTACTATCTGGTATTATCACACTATGTTTTGTAACAGATAAAGGAGAAACTGAGTCCTAGGGAAATTTTAGGTGTCCTCAAAAAGTTATATACATTGAAACCTTCAAAAACCACAGACATCGCTCCAAATGGCTCACCAAACAACAGCTGCATAATCTGCCCCTGTCGGATAGGTTCAGAAAAGCACTAGAAGGCATCAGAAACATACATCCATTGTTTAAATCGTAAAACACAAATAACCCAAGTACACAAATTTTGAGAGAGTAGGGATAACAGCTAAGGTAGTACACATTCCTAATGTTCACTTTCACAGCTGTGCTACACGTTTCAGGAGGAAGAGAAAGTCTGAGTAAGCGCTGGGTTTGGTACTGGTGGCTCACTTTGAAACTCTGAGCATCTGTTTGTAGACTCCAAACTCACGTTTTTATCATCCAGTCAGAAAAACTGCAGCTGTGAATATAGAAAAGCATTAGATGAGAACTGCAATGATGAGTTAGATAAAGCACATTCTAGAAGGAGCACCCAGTCTGCTCATCACACCTCAAAGGAGTTATCAGTTTGTAATGAAGCAGCAGCCTTCCCACACACAGTTACAAATCTGCCTACTAGAACCCCAAGTTGAAAGCGCGAGTCCCAGCAATGAAGGTGCATCTCCACTCCTGGCCATCTCCTCCGAGTGCCAGGTACACCTCCTGGGGGCTGGAATTGTGAGAAGGGGGAAGTGGGACTGGGTGGTGCTTGCTAAGAACAGCCTAATCCCATCCACTGCTGCTAACTCCAGTGCAGAGGGGGCTTAGAACAAGTCTTAGAATTAAGCTATACGAAGAAAAAGGGATGTCTGAAGAAAGCTCTGAAGATGTGTAATGACTGTCTTCTCCTCACCTGGAAAATTATTCTAGCCTTAATTATAAAGCTCCTACCTTACTTCTGCATTATTATTTTTTAATTGGCTTAACTGTTCAATTCAATCTGATGTTTCCGCTTGGGCCTCTTCACATCCTTCTCCAAAACACTCACAGTAATGTTTTTGTCTTTTTTTCCTTCCATTCTGCAATACTGATTTTTTGCTTCTCCTCCATTTTTTCTTTTTATTTACTCCTCTGTTCTTCCCCACTGTTGTTCTACACAGCACTGCTCAGACCTCATGCCTTAGCATTCAGAAAAGCAGTGCCTTGAAAAATTGTATGGTCAGGAAGAACGTTAGCTGGCAGCAGTTAAGAGATGCAAACAACCTCCTCTTGATGATCAGGATACATAAGTTTTTCCTCTTTTGATCCCTTCACACCTATGATACCAAATCTGTTTCCACACCCACAAGACTGGAACAAGCTTCTTCAGCACTGTTTTGCCCTCAGTATTTGTAGCCTGTTATGATTCTATTTGTTTCAGTGTTAATTTCATGAAAACAAAACAAAACCCACAAAACAGAACAAAACCATAAACCCTTTGACTGAATGGAAATAAGGCAAAAGTGGAAGTTATGGATTTAAGATAACTTCTCCTAGCAGTCACTTCTGGAAACAAGAAGTAGTCAAAAGTCAAGCTTTCAGGCTAAAATTAAGTGTGGACAGAGAATTTGGTTTACTGTTTAAATCACCATATAATCTGTGCATGTTTCTACCTATCCACAACTACAGTTTTATCAGTCATATTCAATCTACTGGTCTAATCAACATCTGTGTGCCAGACACATACCACAGCGTAACATGCTTAGGCAGGCAATCACAGAATACCTTATCATTTACAAGAAATCCTTGATGTTAAGATCCGCTAATGGGTCCTTTGTTGGAGGTTTCTTGGGACTCTGAGTAGCAGGAGTTGGGCTTGGAGAAAGCTAATGGACGCCAGCCAGGAGGCAGAAAAAAAACAAAGCAGACAAGGATACACAAGCATTAGGCAGATATAGCTGGTTCTCACATAAGCACATTGCAAGCATACAAAGTTCTCATTTTCCTGCAAGTTCAGCGTGTTGCCATTTTGCTCAAGCATTATCTAGACTCTATCCTTAGTACAGGGTTAACGATGTTTGGCTGGTTTAATGGATAAGGCTATAGACACCGCATATTCTAATCAAAGTAGCATCAAATCACTCTCTCCCTGTAAGAGACAACTGTTAGGATCATCAACCCAGACAGAAATTAAGCAAATGTTAGATGTTAAACACCAAGGTGCAGAAAAAGCAGAGTGCATGCTGCAGAGTAAGTCTGAAAATCCTGGCAACTGGCATTTAAATACAAGTTGTTCTACATTGGTACTGCAAATAAGAGTTCAAAGTGACTATATTATACTCTGCTCCTCCTCTGGTAGGTATAAAAATCATCAGTCATTCCACAAAACATGTCAGTTTTTCAAGTTCCATGCAACTCTCTTCACTAGTGAGCCAAGTGATACTCCTATCCTGTCCTTACTCCTCCCCATCCCTACCTTACGCAGGGGACTAGAAGTATTTAATATGTAGCCCTGGCATCTTGATGACTACCTTTCTCCCAGAAAAAAAATTGTGTTTTCCATAATACTATTCTTGATAATGTAAGTGTAGAGATCATTTAAGGTGGGAGGAAAAGCAAGACCAAGAAGCTATATATAAGATGCAGAGCTCTAATACCTACAACCTACCTTATCACTTTGAGCAGATTCAAGTTCTTCCCATTTCTACACAGAAAACCCAGAAAAACTTGAACAGGAATGTGGTTCCCTACTTCAAAACTGTGGTTAACTACAGGTTCATTGCTTAATATTTGCAAAAAACGGAGGTGGCTTGGTTTGAAGTGTTACAAGTCAAATTTTAGAGCTGCAGCATCAACTTCCATCTCTCACCCTATCTGAAAGACAAGAGGGACTTCTGACTTAAAAAGAAGCAAAATACTACAGCTAAGTCATTCCTTGCTTCTACTTTGGAAGGGCCCTTTTCTTTTCAGAGTTATTACAAACCAAACTCTACTTTGAAAAAATGTCCTAATACCTGTTTCAGGATTTATGTTGCATCACCCAGTAGCTTTGAGGCACAGAGTGCTGCACTTCCAAACTTATTAGCTTCAAGTTAAGAAGAATTCTTAGGAAACTATGAGAAGCAGCTGATACCACCCCGTTCAACAGGAACCATGGCATGTCTCCATTTACTCAATCTACTTCTTCATTAACTACTCCATTAGAATTTTTTTCATCATATTAAAGAAAAGACTCATCTCCATGGCAACCAGTAACTTGTGACACAATGTCTCCCGGTTATTTTTAATTAGTATAGAATAAAGAATATGTTTGCTTTGATTTTAGGTGGCCAAACCCATGTCCCCTCTACGTCTAAATATTTGACTGTCACAAAGTCAGACTTGGTAAATATAGTTTAAAAACATGAAAAATGAAGCAGTGTCATGCGTCTCCCACTTACAAAACAATACAATGACTGTAGATTAAGATTGTTCATTTGCATTCCTCTATCTTAATGTAAGTTAGAAGTAAAATTTCACTCCACAGTATTTAAATTTGCACGCTGCTGTGAAAAGTGTATGTTCTAAGCACTCCAATGTTACATACACTATGGTAATTCACACATGAATGCAGTTGTTTTGCCGTGAAAGAAACCAAGCAAGCTACCAGCCTGAAACAGATAAAGTTGTATTTACTGAGAAACAGCTCTCATCCAAGAACTGAAGACCTTAATTTGTTCATAAGCAGATGGTTGGTCTTCTGAGAAATCTCTTTGTGAGCTGGGAGGGATGCTGAGTGCAGGTGTAGTAAATTTCTACAAGCTCTGAACAGAATAGAAATGCTCATGAGCTCCACTTTGAGCTTTATTCAAATATCCCCCCAAACCAAGTCTTGGATGTAGTTAGCTGTAGGAAATTTTTCAAACCTGTTCCACTGGTCTCGTCCAAAGAAATTGAAAAAAAATCAAGGTGGTTCATGTGTTCTGCTGCAAGTCAGACAGCTGATACTTTAAAAAAAAACCCACCGTCTCATTTACAGACTTACAGCTAGAATTGAACTGAGGTAATGCATACACACTAGCTACTTTCTAGAGAAATGAAGAGCAATTGAACGCTCTAGCAGCAACATTTACCTGTACACCAGGGCCAGTGGCAGCTCCAAATGGTGGCCTCATCATAGGCTGCCCGTACATAACTGGCTGCTGGGGCATCATAGGTACGCCCGTGCCTGCTGGGGGCTGCAAATTAACACACTGTGAGTAGGGCTTTGGGTGAAGAAGGGAGAGCAGTGTATCAAGAGAGACTCACCATCCCAAATGCTGCTCCTGGCTGTGGGACAGGTGGAGTACCTCCTGTGGCAGGAACAGCACTTGCTGGAGGAACGGCTCCCGTCTGAAAATTAATTAAAAAAAAAAAAAAAAAAAAAAAAAAGCAGGAATCTCTGCTACACCAACTATCTGGAAACCACAAGGAGTCTCCAGAATTCTCAAAGTTGTTCTGGAAAGTAGGACTATTATGTATCAGATAATACCTAATCCCAAAGCCACAATGCTTCAAAAGAATGAGAGTTGAGTGAGTCCTTACGCTGATGCTCAGCTTGCTTTTTTGCAAGAAAGCAAGGGTGACAGACACCATTCGCTCCATGAATGAAGTCCACTTACTGAATACAACTCAAAATAGGCCAAAGATGATATGTACTTTCCTCTTCCTTCTACACAATGCAAGACAGCATCCCAATTTCATAACTGACAGTCAACACACTACAGCATTTGTAGCACTGTATTTTAGTAAAAGCTTAAGCAGGTTGTAAAGTTAAGGGAAGTAACTGCCATAATTAATTTCCAACTGAAAAAAAAAAAGTATTTTTATGCAGTGAGATTTAAATTAAAGAATAAGTTCACACACTTAAGCGACAATCACAACCATTACATACTTTACTAAGGAGAGTTTAGTTCATCGTGTTATGCTCTTCATTCATGTGCTTAGCTTGTTATGATTTTCATTCAAATAACACAAGGGAAAAAAAAAGGTGATCTTTTACCAGGATTCAGGAAGAGAGAACTGTTACTTTAGCAGTCTGACTGGATATACAGCACAACAGCATCTCTGAACAAGGCCACCCCACTTATCTAGCAGAACCTACACACCACCCCTTTTCATTTACTTGTCTGAAACTTCCCATTCACAGTCTCCTTATGGTCTTGAAAGCATACGAGTCTCTCCTTTTCAGAGAAGTATATACAATCCAAATTATTAACAACTCTGAAGAGAGGCAGGAACCATCCAAGGAAGCGCTTTAAAAATGGTAGTAGGATTTTCAGGAATCTCATTTACTGCTATCACACAGCCTAAATATACTGGCACAACTTATCAAGCTGTTACAGAAGCTGCAGGGTCATGCCTGAGCCTCCACATCCTTACCACCCACCCCGAATCAGTTATACCCCACTGCACGTGGAGGGCAGCTAGCACACTTTCAGTTCAACACACAGTGTATCTCTGGAGATATGCAGAAATTACTCACTGCATAGTCCACGTCCGTGAATGCTGCATTTAGGGCCTTTGGTGGATCCTTGCTTCCAGCCTAAAATACGCCAGTTTCGTAGGAAACTAGAGACAAGTCAAGATAACCTATTCCAGATTCATTAATCAGCAAATACCCTACAGTTTCTGACTAATTATGAACCTCTTTTTCAGTCTGAAAGTTTTCTGTGGAGCATTTCAATTGAAAGCTGTACTGTACCAGCAGTACAGCTGTCCCCAAACTAAATCCAACACCTGGACACTCAGGTGTGGAAAACAAGGAACGGAAAGGCACAGACTAATGACATCAGATGCAGTGATCTGACTGCAGCCACAGGAACACAGAGTAGCTCAAAATCCACTTAGACAGATGCCAAGATAATGGCCACACAAACCGAATCTGCTTTTGCCTCAAAGCACTAGGCTCACTCAAGGGAATGGGCTTTCAAGAAATTCTGATTTTAATCCAGAAGGTGAAAGGTCACAAGGAAGGGAAGAAGTGACCAAAACTTAAGTGGTTCAACAATGACATGAAAGAAAGGTTCGTTTTGGTCTCCAAATTTACTTCTGCAGATCTGTTTTTCTTTGGTTTCAAAATCTGGGTTTATGTGGCTAGGTTTTGGTAGGGGGTGGGCTACAGGGGTGGCTTCTGTGAGAAGCTGCCAGAAGCTTCCCCTATGTCTGACAGAGCCAGTGCCAGGTGGCTCCAAAATGAACCTGCTGCTGGCCAAGGCCAAGCCCATCAGTGATGGTGGTAGCACCTCTGGAATTACACATTCAGGGAAAGGGGGGGAAAAAAAACCTGAGCAATTGCAGCTGGAGGGAGGAGTGAGAATACATGAGAGAAGCAACTCTGCAGACACCCAGGGCAGTGAAGAAGGAGGGGGAGGAGGTGCTCCAGGTGCTGGAGCAGAGGTTCCCCTGCAGCCCATGGAGGTTATCGGTGGAGCAGATCTCCACCTGCAGCCCGTGGAGGACCTCACACCAGAGCAGGTGGATGTGCCCCAAGGAGGCTGTGACCCCGAAGGAGGCTGTGACCCCGTGGGAAGCCCACACTGGAGCAGGCTCCTGGCAGGACCTGTGGCCCCATGGAGAGAGGAGCCCACGCTGGAGCAGGTTTGCTGGCAGGAGCTGTGGCCCCGTGGGGACCCACACTGGAGCAGTCTGTTCCTGAAGGACTGCACCCCGTGGAAGGGACCCACTATGGAGAAGTTTGTGAAGAGCTGAAGCCCGTGAGAAGGACACATGCTGGAGAAGTTCATGGAGGACTGTCTCCCATGTGCAAGGGACCCCACACTGGAGCAGGGGAAGACTGTGAGGAGTCCTCCCACTAACGAGGACGGAGCAGCAGAGACAGTGTGTGATGAACTGACTGTAACCCCCATTCCCCATCCCCCATCCCCCCTGCTGCAGGGGAGGAGGTAGAGAAAATTGTGAGTGAAGTTAAACCCAAGAAGAAGGGAAAGGTGGGGGGGAATATGCTCTTATGATTTGGTTTTATTTCTCATTATCCTACTTATTTGATTGATAATAAATTAACCTAATTTCCCCAAGTCGAGTCTGTGTTGCTCATGATGGTAACTGCTGAGTGACCTCTCTGTCCCTATCTCAACCCATAAGCCTTTCATTATATTTTCTCTCCCCTGTCCAGTTGAGAAAGGGAGTGACAGAGGGGCTTTGGTGGGCACCTGAGGTCCAGCCATGGTCAACTCATCACACAAAAAATAACTAAGTGTATGGTTTTGAAGAAATATACATAGCACCCATTTTTCATGAAACTATCAAAACAACCTAGCTTTCCAGAAAGGCTAGTTACTTACCAGATGGTAAAACCACTACAAGATCCTGCTCATTTTACAGAAGTTATAAATTTCAGGTAGTTCACATCCAACTAAAGCAAAGACAGTTTGAAGCCATTATTTTCAAGCTTACAACACAGAAATGGTTAATTACTACAACCATATTCAACACACTGCCTGAGAATTGTTTGCTGGACAGACAGTCCAACAGCAGCTGTGTTAGGTAGCTTCTAGCTAGTGGCAATAACTGTAGTGCAGATGAGGTGTTAGTATCTTCGTGTTTAGTATGTATAATAAGAGATCAAAAAAAAAAAATTCACTTACATGGTACAGTATTGCCCAGCCTTTCTATCAAGAAAAAAGTTGATGTTACAACTAACACATTCAATGAAGTACCAAGTTCCAGCAATTCCTGTATCTTCCATAAGGTTAAGGAATAAGCTGGAACATGCTTAAGAGTCACATTAACATCTGTCTGTGGCAACAGGGAACTGAACTGGTCATGCTTCCCCTTGACAGGCCTTCCCTTCCCAACCCAACTTCTTTCAAATGGAGGCTGTTTTATGCCCTGTGCAACTCTGATGAGATGAGGTATGACCCCTCTTCAGATTACTCTTGTGACTTACTCATGGTCAAGTTGCTCTCGTGCCAAATTTAGATTTTTAGCTCAATTCAACCCGCTTCTCAAAGTTAGTGCCTTCTGATACATTTTACAGGGCAACATGAACTTTTCCAGCAGACTGCTTTGCTCTACTAAACAAGGTACCAACTTCTAATCTAACATCAATCACCTGATCAGTATGAATACTACTGCATAGTCTTTTGATCTACTCCATTCAGGAAAGCTTGAGAAAAACCTGTTTATTTTCTCTCCTTCCAATACTTCAGCTTTGGATCAATACCACTGTCTTTTGGGCAATGGACCTGGGCCTGGTGCTGGCAAGACCTGTAATGGCTTGGAAACGCACTTCCACACACTTGGAAACATCAACAGATACTAAGTGTACATGTAGAGTAACATCTCCATACATACGCTAGTGTATTTTCACTGACCTGAACTCAATGATTTATGCCAGTTGTAAGTCTGGTCTTAAAAATGTGACTTGAAACAATCATGTAATTTATACAGAAGCAAACTCTTCAGCTGAAGTAGACAGGAGCAGTGCCTACATGTATGCTTCCACAGCCTCATAAAATACTGAGGTTTCAACACCAGTGGTGTCAATGGATTAACCACCTACCAATGGACCACTTGGGACACCACCAGTCGACCATGTTGCAGGTGCTACTTTTGGCTGCCAGTTGGCTCCTCCTGTCAACTTTTTCTCTCCAGCGTTCCACTGAAGGTCTCCCCTAATAGAGAGGGAGAGAGAGAGAGCTACTATCTACATACCCTTACAGTAAAAATGAAAACCAACTGCAGTATACATTAACATTAGGCTTGCAGCTACATTAGTTTATGGTGTATGCAGTCTAAGTTATTAACAGAAAGATACACTTTTCTACCACTCAGTTTCAAATGTTTGTTAGCAGTAGACACCAATACACTCTACACTGAAGTCAGTTACATGGTTATGGCCTTTGTGGTGAGAATTAAAGAGAAGTTTTACTTAGTATTGACTGAAGGTAATGTATTATTGCATATACCCTTGCAAAGTAGGAAGAGGGACTGCTACTGTCTATTTTACTGGGGACAGGCAGTAGAGCTGCCTGCTAGAAGTCTTTGAAAGGTCATTTCATTGCTGGAAATCTTGCTCAGACAGCTGAAGGAGGAAAGCATTCAGTTCTGAAAAAAGTTGATAGATACAAGAGAAACAAATCATTCATAGAAGAAAAAGGGCTGTTGTAAAACCAGGTTTTTTTAGAGACTGCTCTATCCAGAATAAGACACACCATTTGAATGAAGTAGATTGAAGGAAACTAAGTTTTGGAGTAAACCTCCTGATGTGTTTATACACATCACTCCTATCACCTCCACAGATGCACAAAACGTTTTAAAGTACACACATCATAAACTGGTCTTGCATACAAGAGAAGACTCAGCATAGAAGTAAGAAATCAGTCAGATTAAGAAAGTACACTCGAAAATAAATGCAATGCTGTAAATATTTCCTCTCGCAAAAAGAAGCTTTTCACTGTATGGAATGAACTTCTTTTCTATTTTACAAGTATTCCAATGCCTACACAATAAGCACACCCAGCGTCTGTAAAAAGATAACAAAACTATTACATATTAGCCTAGATTACTGAGGGGAGCTATGTAATTTATTATCCAGACTATTTGTTCATTTTAAGTTGGTTGAAAATCAGCTATCCAATATGAAGGCAGTAATTTACAGAAAAAAAAAAAAATAAAAATCTAAGACTCAAATTAAAGCCAGCAAGTTTAAAAGCTCTGCCAGGAACATTTAACCTTAGTTATTCAGTGAATATGTATGGAATAGAATAATTCTTTCAGAACTTCTCTGAACTGATTTTTTTGGGGGGAGGGGGCATATAACCAATTGATTCTTAATAACACTGAAATAGATGTAAGACTATAACAGCAGTTGGAATTATTTTTTTTTTTTTAAACAAAGTTGAACTTACTTTTTTGAAGTGGTACCAGAAATTCCAAGATCTGAAAATTGTAAGAAAGAATAATAAAAAAAAAACCCGTTATATGTTTATTAAATTAAAGCATGTCAAAGTAACAGCTGATGTTTCACTGCACATGGGATTATACAGAGTAATACAGTTTTTGCTGTCTTCATTTAGACAGCATCAGAGGACTGAACACATCTACCCCTTCTTCAGGACAAACTTTTGACAAACCCTGCAGTGGTCTTAAATACTTGAGGAAGCCATTTTTGCTCCATAAGCAAACCAAAGTAACAATATATTTAGGTCTACAAAACGCGAAGTTAGTTAAGAGCACAAACTATCTACCACAAATGACAACACTGGTTTCTGTTCCTCATTATATGCATGGAAGTAAAAAAGCTATTTTTCAAATACATATACATCTGAATGTTACCTGGAAGTTGTGCACTGTTTTATCTGCTCTATAATACATGGGAAATCCAAGTAATTTCCTTAATTACTCTTTGGAAGAAGTTTGAAGCTAAGTTTTAAAGAATATTCTTTCACATGACCAGTACAAGTCCTGTAAATCACAAATTGTTAAGTTTGATTTTCTCCCCCAAACTTGGATATACCAAAAGACTTGCAGAAGAGGTTTCAAGTGATTAAGAGTCCTACTGACTTCTAAGAATGGTATATTTCACACACACCTGACAGAAGAGTATGCATCATAAGACCAGTCATATCTTTGCTGTGGTGTCTTTTCACATACTAAAAGTATTCCATTTATACAATTCTCCAAAGAACAACTTCAGTAGTATTACACCTTAGCCTAGGTGGGCCTCTGTTAAGTTTTTTGCAGGACTGAAGCTACTGATCTCTAGTTAGAAAGGCTCTAGCCCTTTTCCTGCTACAGAAAAGAGAACATTTTTTAGTTTAGCATTTCAAGAACATGTTTTAGAAAGTTCACTGTCAGAGAAGGTCTGTTCTTGGCTGTTGTGCACTCCTCGCCCCACTGTTACTCCTCACCACATTAAGTAAGAATTCAGCTATTTGTGTCCACCAGCTTTTCTGCTTAAATTCCACAGTGCTGTCAGATGCTTTGGACAACTTTCACCTTTCCATCTGTTATCATACATGGGCACATCCATTAGGAGTCTGATGTGCTCCTGAATGCACCTGGGACGTTCACACGTTACAAATCATACCTACCAAACAGATCCCACTGACTCAGATCCTGGGCACAAAGAGGGACAAGTTACGAACCCAGACTACCAGCTATCTGAATCAGGCCTTATTCTTGCCTATAGCATCCCAAATCTCCCAGGGAAACAGGAGGACATTGAAGCAAGCTAAAATAGAGAGGTACTTGGCTGCATGGAAGTACCCAGCTGTATGCCACACAACTTAAAACCAAAATTTGTCACTTACTGCCTACTAAGTTTGCAAGAGATGAATCAAGATCACTCCCGAGGCCTTTGCTTGCTGCTGAAGCAGTGACTGTGGCTGTGGCTGAAGGTGCTACAGACTGACCAGAAGGAACCATAGTTGGCATAAGAAGATCACCTAAGCCATCAAACACTGGAAGTGAAAGGAAAGTGGGTTAGAATAGCAGCTGTAGTAACAAAAACATTACCTGCCACTTTGCTGTTGCTCCAACAAATATAGTACAGACAACCACATCACAAGTCTTACCAAAACACTGTTTGACATTAAAAATAATGCCAACAAGGGCATGCATGTTGTTTTAGAGGACACTGAATGTACAGTAATCCTGAAAGAGCTATATTGATGCGAACTAATATGAGAGGACATGCCCAGAAGGCCTTTAATTTAAGTGTTGAATCTACATAGATACAGCATCACTTCCACATGACACTATTTTTCTTACAGCCATCCTTAGAGAGATGTCAGATGCACACACGTTTGTCAGGAGATATTAAAGGGTTTTAAAATTAACATCTTGCAGCAAACACCAGTCAGAATTACGATGGCAAAGGCAGTCTTATACCTTGACATCTTATGGCAACAGGATTGAAAGTCTCAAGATGTTACTGTTCACTTGCAAGCAGCAGGGATTCAGGAAATCCTACTAATATCTTATGAGATCAGAAGGAACCAGAACCATCCACACTGACAGAGCTAGTGTCTTTAGTCCAGTCATCTAACTCAGAAGCTCATTTTTTAGATCTCTTGAAGTCAAACCACCTGGTGCATCTCATGTCAGCATTCTATCTTCTGATCTGTATTTGAGGTACATGCTAGCGTTAAGTCAACAGGAAAGGGTAAGCATGTGCACTGGCAAGCAACCAATTAACCAAGCAGCAGTACTACTTCAACCTTTTTTTCTTGTACAGTTGCAGAACTCACCAATTTTAAGTTTGTAGCAAGGACCCAGCATGGAAAATATAGAATGGAAGAGATACAAACAAAATGACAGCAATGATGAAAATTTAAGCTTATAGTCAGGCAAAGAACACTACCTCAGTCTCCATTTTGTGTACCTTCAGCTGCCATGCAAGCTCAAGAACAGCTTCAGCAATGAGAAGACTTGCCTATATACTTGATTTACAGAACAGTGTTTTTCTTGCATAACTCCTGATTCATGCAATCAAGCTCATGCAAGGATGACATTCACACTAGTTTGTTTTTTACGGACATGGTAGAGTAATAAATGGGTACAGAGAGCTCTTGGGCACACACCAGCCTAAACACCACCCTGAGTTCTTCCAGTAGAGAAGGAACAGGGAAATCACTGATACTGCTTGTATACAGAGCCTAAATATGGTGTCATTAACTCAACTGACACATAAAACACATTAGAAAATTCACAGGAAGAAACCCTGTGGCTCACCTGATGCATCAAACGAACTGCCAGTCGTTGGAGCTGTTGTCCCAAAAGCTGCATCAAAGTTAGGCTGTAGTAAACTGGTTTGAGCTGGAGTGACTGGGGACGGTGATGGAGAGGGAGCAATAAAAGAACCTCCAAAGCCTTGAAAAAAACACATAAGAGGTGTGGACATTAGAATCAGTCTTGCTGGGCTGTGTTTAACAAAAGCTCAATCTATAGAAGGCAGAATGATAGAGACAATTCTTACTATACCACTGTAAATAACTCAGTATCACACAAACCTCCTTGGTATGCCAAGTATGGCCCAGGAAATTTAAGATTTTGTGAGAGTGACCAATAAAAAATTTAATGTTTGTTATTTAGATCTCTGCAGAGGCAGACCAACAAAGTAGAGAACATAATTTTTTCCTGTACTACACACTATCATTCTAGGTAAGTAATATCTCAGGCAGAATACAACAAACAAGAATTAGTTCAGAAAAAAGAGAAACAGGACTAGCTTGAGAAAAGCATATGATCACCCATCAACTACTTTGGAATCTCAATTCAGAAGGCAACATTTTACTAATTCAGTTTAGTCTCATCATCCTAAAACATCCTGGTCTCTCTTGTCAACACTATTGTGTGTCCCCCTCCATGCCAAAGCAGGATCAACAGCATCTACAAGGGAACTGCTTGTAGTCTAGAGAATCTCCATGAGTAGGACTTATTTATACAAGTATACTGTTTATAATATATACACATTAACTTTAATCATGGAGGTTCTCCAACCTACAAGCAATGCACTCCCATGCTTGACTATTCCTAAAGTCCCTCCCTTGCCCTCTATATAATTTGATCTCCCTTGCAATTTAAGCTAATTTGTATTATCTACAGACTCTGGAAACTGATTAAATATGCAAAGACTCTGTCAAAATGAGACCAGACATATGACACTTTCTCAATTCTCTTAAATCTACAAGCCATTCCTCTTATTCAATCTCTTCTTGACAGTGAAGTCCAAGACCTCTATACCACATCTTCAGTCTCTCACCCTTGTTTTTTCTCAGCTGCCCCTGCACATACAGGATCAGATCTGAGCTCAGTGCTCCAACTGCAACTATGCAAATACAGCAGGAAGAGCACTCTGCACAACCTGCAGGCTGTACTACTTTTTCCTGTATCAGAATAGGAAGCATATTGTTTTGCCACAGCTGAGCACAAGACATTGACAAGCCAGTGCTCTACCACTGCCTTCAGTCTCTTTTCAGGGTACATCCTGCCTTACAGTCAACTGTCCTTATTTGTCTAGCTAATAGTTGCTTACGGACAGAAGCTTGAACATTTACTCATTGGAAATTTCTCCTTTAGACAATTTTTGCAAATTTGTAGAGACCATTTTAAGTCCTATTCTCATCTGAAGCAAATACAGATCTTTTCATGTGGGTGAAATCTGAAAAATTAAGTATGCTACTCCAACAGTCACATTGTTGACATCAACTACCAAATACAACTTATCAATTTAAAAGAGATCACCTATTTACATTAAAACCTAATCACTACTTTGTCTTTTTATTGAGATAGTTTGTACCACTCTTGTTTAAGCAGCCAACTAATTCCTTTCTTCTTCTTTCTTTAGCTTTTTTTAGTTATCAGTTCAGTGGGGAAGTCAGCTTTTTAAAAGCAGAAAAATAAAGAAAATTCTGCATATTTTCTAACCACTTTTTTATCCAAACTGTTTTTCATGGTCACAGGGTATATTGGTTACGGCACATTATGCAGATATCTTACAGACAGTGACAACAGCACATCTCCCAGCTATGAAATCAAGCATCTGCCGGACATTTAACTACGAAATGGGTTAGAGCTCAACAAAGAGCTTGTGCTCAAATTGTGAGCATCAATTATATCAAATGTTACTGTGAGATCTCAGACACTCTCCCCAAAAACTACCTTCTCAGAGAACAAAGACTTAAACACCAAACACTTAATAAACGTTGAAAGAGTAGGAGAAATTTATACAGACACACTTGATGCAAGCATCAGAATTATTTACACATCAGTTGCATATTTTAGAAGAGAACTGAGTTAGCAGTAACTAATTGTATTCAAACCAAAACCCACAGTAGGGCAATGAGAGTGGTGTGCCATCACTGGGTCTTGGGCACCAGGCCAGCAACTTGCTGTACCACCAGCAGGCAGACTTTAGTTGTGGAATGCCTGGCTTGTATGAACAAATACACTGGCCCCAGACACAGCTGGGAGAGGACAGCAAACCTGAGTATGCACTACAGGTCCAGGCAAACACAACCTGATTAGAAACACCTCATAGATTATATCCTTCAGCTGGAGCTTGCCAGATTGCAGGCAATGGCTGAAAACACATCATAACTTAAACTGGTCCCTTCAGATGCTACCGACCAAGGGCACTGGCTGGAGCCAGGGAAACAGAGCAGCCTGCTTTCTGCAGGCTGAAGAGCATTTCAAAAGCATGTGTGAGCTTCCCCATGTTTATGAGACCTAATTTAGGGTTCTGGCACCAAGAAGTCTTTATCACCCAAACTCTCACTCACAGCAAGTCACATGCTTGCACGTGCAAACTCTGATTCTGGACAAACGCACTGGGATCAGAGATCTGCCCTCAGCTCTCCAAGATCTGTTCTTGAAGCAGATTTGTCACAGGATAATTTAGGTTGGAAGGGACCTCTGGAGTCCAGCCAGCCCAACACCCTGCTCAAAGCCAGTCTAATCAAAACAGGTTGCCCAGAGATTTCTCTTGACACCTCCAAAATGAGAGATTTCACTGCCTCTCTAGGTGACCTGTTTTCATATCTGACCATCCTCATGGTAAAAAATTCCAGTATTTAATGGGAATTTCCCACCCACATTGCCTTTTTTCCTATTGCTGTGCATCTCCAAGAACCACCTGGCTAGTCTTCTCTGTATCCTCCAGTGAGGTACCTTAGGTACCTCACTGGACCAGGTGTCTAAGGCCCCCCTTTTGCCTTCTCTTCTTGAGGCTGAATGGACCCAGTTCTCACCCTCTCCTCATATGTCAGGTGCACCAGTCATCATCTCAGTGGCCTCCACTGAACTCACTCTGGTACGTCTTGATCACCCATCTCAAGAGATTCTCTAACACATTCCAGAAGTCCCCTAGACTACCTGTGCCCAGTCATATTCCCTATTGCCCTTCCAGCAAATACTATGGTGGTTAAAGTTGCCCATGAGTGCCAAAGCCTGTGATAAAGAGGCTTCCTCCAGCTGCCTAAGAAAGGCTTCCTCTACCACCTCTTTGTGATCATGTGGTCCACAGCAGACACCTGCTAAAACATCACCGATGCTGGCCTGTCCCCTAATCCTTACATACAAGATCTGTTCTAGTTCATCACCTGTCTCAAGGCAAAGCTCCACACATTCAACCATCTGCAAAAAAGTACTAATCTCCAAAGAATCAGACCAGAAGCAGGTTGACAAGATACAAGGATGACAAAGGCAGTGGACTGCAGCAACTCCTAAAGCACTGGAGCCATCTAAAGATCCTGTGCTCTGTTAGATCCTTTTTGCTTCCTGAGTGAGAACAAGGAGCTTGTCACCAGGGCATGACTTAATATCCATTTATAAGATTCTGTTTAGAAAGTTACGTAAGCTTTTACAAAGCCCCATAAAGTGCCTGTTTCTCCAGCTACAGAAGAGAGTTCTCCCCGCTTCAGGTGATGTTTGCATGTTGATTGGTCCTAATTCCATAGCATTTAGCCTTGTGCAATTTAACAGCAAGACCAGGCACAGAAGCCATAAAAATGCTTTAACAGATTAAGTTCCTAGTTGTCTAGGGCTTGCACAAGACCTGGAATGAGGGCAGAAACAGCAGCAACTGAACAATGTGCTATCTGGACATCATCAGCTGCCTGATTTTGCTGTTGCTTTTACTTACATATTCAAGTAAGATTTCTTATAAGAACATGCTATTAGAGTACATACTGGGATACATACGCACATAGTTTAATTGAATAGAAAGATGTAGAAGGGAAAATTGCAAGACTATCTTATTTATCAGCATAGTTCCAGTCTTATCTGCTGAGAGGCTTAAAAGAGTATGAAAAAAATTCTACCGTATTTTCCAGTGAGCCAAGAAGAGACTAAAAACTTATTTGACAGCAGAACGCTGAAGACGATGCATTGTAAGTATAATCATGATACTATGCATATAAACACTTAGTACAACCAAACACTCATAAACCATGAAGGACAAGCCTTCAGCCACCATATGAATTCTGGACACTCTTAAATTTAAAACTTGATTACACTGCAGGCTATACATCTGCCATTATTTAGGGTGATCAAATGCTTAGCAATATGCTGTGATGTTTACAGACTATCTGCCAAAAAAATAGATTCAAATTTACTGGAAGCCCTTTTGCATGTATGTTCAAAGGAAAAATAAACAAAAAAAACAAAACAAAACAAAACAAAAATCATCTATTCACCCCAACTGCTTCAGGTCTGCTTGAGCATTTAAACATAACATCCCTTTTACAATTTAAGTTTTGATTTAATATGACTCATCAGATTCAGAGAGCACACTGCTGAAATTTAAGCCATCTGGAGCAAAATTCCTACTGGAATTTAAGCTTAGTTACAAATACAGGACACAGAATATTTTGTACTGTAATGTTTGCAGAAGCAGAATTAGCTTCTGTGTGACATCTTTGCACCCAGTCCCCAACAACAGACATAACTGCAAATGCCTGCTATGTTTCGGAATCGACTAGCTAAAGCCTGATCTACAGTCCTAAGCTACCCGTAGATTCACTAATACAAAGATCTATTGAAGTAATATTAAAACAAAAGATGGCCTTCTACCTTAAAATCCTGAAGCTGCCTGTACTAAAGCTTCAGCATGCATTTACACATTATGTCCCACTTTAAGTAGGTGACTTGCCAGCACTGTTACCAACTGAGAAGAGACACACACATTATTATCTAAACTACTTCCACCTTCTTGCAGCATAACTAGGCGATGCCCACACTTAGAGCAGGTACTAGAAAATGTGTCCTCTTCTGCACTTAGAGCAGATTACATATCTCAGTATTTCACTTACCTTATGTATTCCTCAAAATGAAGGACCTCTCATGAGCATATAGAGGCAAAATATACACAGGGTTGGACTTCTAATATAGTGTAAGTTGGCATGAGAGACCTTCAGACATACAGACATCAGGACCCACCATAGCTAGAGTGGTCAGCAGTTGCATAAAAGGCAGACCATCACTCTGGCTCAAAATTAAAGCAACAAAGGTAAAACATGAAGCTAACAATCACCTTTGAAGTTCATGCAGGATAACCTACCCACCAATTTTACTGACAAATTCAGCTTTCAGAAACATGGGGGAAAGTAAGCCAAGTCTTCCTTAAACCAGAAGTGCATTAGTTTCCTTTAAACCTGAGGAAGACATGCTGGGATCTTGTTCAACTTCAAACTGGGATGGGGAGGAGTCACAAGTGTTTAGCACAGTCAGTATAGCCACTAAAATACATGTTATAGCATGAATTTTGGAGAATGGTACAAACAGAATTCAGCTGAAGCTCCTTATCCATAGGATGCAGACTACAATAATACAGTTTTTCAGCCTTTGAAATAGGGTGTGACAGTGTTGCCACATTCAGCACTAGCAGAGACCTCAACTCACCCCATATAAGGAGAGAGTCTCGTATCACTTCTATGCCCTTGAGCTCAGAAAAGCACTCTCACCTCACCCCAGTCTCCTTGGTTAAATGCAAGACTGCTACCAACTTATTCATTCAAGCTCCTAACATTTAAGAGTGTAACCTGCCTCAATTAAATCAACCAAGCAGTGAAGATGAATTAGCAGCGAGGAACAAGTAGCATAGCCTGCAAGACTGCTTAACTAAAGTACTGCTACAGTCAAAGAAACTTTATGCATACACTCCTATTCAGTGAACAGTACAGAAAAATAAGGCTTCTGTAGGAGGTAGGAAAGCGAAGAGCATGGGAAGAAGATAATCTAGGAAGTTAATATGTACTTCACTATAGTGCTGCCATTACAAATCACCCCATTTTTAATTTAAGACAACTAAAATACTACGAAATCTCGTGAACAAGTATTTTATTTCACTGCAAAAGTCCACTTACACCCAAGGAACGTAAAAGATTTCAAAGACCATTTCTTAGTTTTGTTTTAAAATAAGAAGTTTTTAGAAGTTCTTTATTACCAGCTAGTAGGTCTGCAGAAGCTGAGGAACTAGAAGCAGCCTGGGTTGCGGGCTGGGGTTCAGAAGCACTACTTCCAAAAGCATCTAAAGGGAATTCCAGAAAGCATCAAGAAAAGGTGAAGAGTTCAATATTAAACGCATCAATTCATCACTTACTGTAAACAAAAGATGACAAAAGGATAAGCAGTTCATTCACCAGAAGAAGAAAATGAAAGTGTTGGCCATCTTTATTGCAAAGCAGTAACATGAACGCAAAGTTCAGGTGGAAAAAAGGAGGTGCAACAAACCAGCACTTGAAAGAAATCTTTTAGTTGGGCCTCTTCTCAGGAAACCCCCACAAACCACAGCATTCTAAATGAGAGGGTTAAGACCCTTGGAGATGAATGCACCAAATGAGAGTTTGGAGTAACTCCAGACAGAACCTACTGACTCATATTTAGTCTTTTTAGAGGAGTATTTCACTGACGTTTGAAAATTCACGACTTCTAAGCAACATTCCTTTCTACAACACTCCTAGAGTTGGTTGTGCCCATCCCAATTTCCACCTTGTCAAATCCAGCAAAGATCCTTCAATGCAGATACCCAGTTTGAGACATGTCACCCTCAACACTTCAGCGGCTCTGAGAAACACAACTGAGAAAACAACATGACCATGGAGAGTTGCAAAGAAAAAAAGCAAAACAGGCTTTCATTGAACCTCTGAGGAAGAGCCATACATGCATTGACTGAAGACAGAATGGCAAGTGTCATGACAACAGAATGACCATACTGACAGCTTAGTTGCAGTTTGTTATTGTGCAATACCAAAAACTGGACGTGCTAGTCTTAGCCACAGTGCTACACAGAAAAGATGTGAGAAGGGGAAATCCGCAGCTTTAGCAAAGTGCAAAGGTAATTGAAATGAAGTGATTAAACTCTGAAGTGGTGAGAAAAGAAAAATACCCACCACCAAATAGGTCAATCACACCTGAAGAATCCACCTTTGCTGGAGAGGCAGTGGGTAGAGGAGAGGGGGCTGCAAATGCATCCACTGCAGTAAGCATAGGATAAATAATATTTAGTATCAGCAAGGCAACAATGATAGCTAAATATTTCAAAGAAACGTGGGCTCCAACAGTTAGAATGGCAGGGTTGGTAAATTCAGGTAACAGTCTTCTGAACTGCAAACAGAAAGCGTTACATTTCTCACACAGCAACTGAAAATCACAGTACTTTAAAGAAAGCTTTGCTTATTAAGAATTTTCTTATGCTTAGAGGAGGATTTACTCTTTCAACCACCCCATTACTTACTCAACTTCAGTGCCAGCCACTTCATGGTTTGCACCTTCAGCAACTGCAGATCTTGTGACCAAAGCATCAAACCCACAACTTAGTATTCCAGCTTAAAGATGTAAATTGGCAGTAAGTATGGTTTTGGTTGTTTGGTTGGTTTTGGTTGTTGTTTGTTTTTTTGTTTTTTTTTTTTTTTTTTTTTTTTTTTTTTTACTCTTGGAAAAAAAATAGCAGCCCGGGAAGCCTGTAGGATAGCCTGTGAAAACAAGCACTCACCAGATAAGAGGTCAGCAGTGAGAGAGCTCTCAGGCACAGGCGAAGCTCCATGTGGTGGAGATGAAAAAGCATCTTCCAGAAATGAAAGAAAAAACAAGAAGTAAGTATCACCCAAGTCAGTTTACACCATAACACAGCATCAAAGCAGAATATTGGAAGAATTCTCTCTTTACCTGTACCAAAGAGATCTATGCTAGGAGTAGCATCTGGTTTAGGCGCTGCAGGTACATCAGGAACAGACTCAAATAAATCTAAGGCCAAGAACACAACACATCTTTAACTAATTTTTGAAAGGCAGGACTGAAAGCAGAACTTTCAGGTTTTACAGAGAGTATTTGGAGATAATAGGCTCTCTGGCTTGAAAGCCTAGCACACATCATGCATGCAACAAGGGTTTGTTTGTTCTGTACTCCTGACAGATCAATCCATCAGAATCAAAGAGTTAAAAACAAAATTACCACCAAAGATATCTAGAGCAGGAGGAGCGGAGGTGGTGGCGGTAGCAGAAGTGGTGGCAGTAGTGGTAGTGGCAGTAGCTGTAGTAGCAGTAGCAGCAGCAGCAACAGCAGCAGCTGGAGAAGGAGTTGTTGCAGGAACTGGAGTGGCTGCACTAGTTGTAGGGGTAACTACAGGAACAGCAGTCTCTGTTGGCTTCATAGCAAAGAGGTCCAGCTCAGGAGCAGCCTCTGCACTACCTTCGGATGGGGCAAAGGGGTCTTGTAAAAAGGAGAGGGGAAATATATGTGTATGCATATTTAGGATCAGTGAGGGAGGAAGTCAAGAACAAAGCAACTACAGGCAATGCACATACTGCAAATACACGCACGCACACACACAGAGGAGGTCGCTCTAACATCTAGTTTACTTATCCAGACATGTTACTTATGTTTTTCTAAAATAAAGACCATCTGAAAGGCTGAGCAGTCTAGTTACTAAAGGGGAGAACTTTCAAGGGCTGTTTGACAAGGCCCAAAAAAGACAGAAATATGACAAAAGAATAGCCAGTTTAGCAGGTTACTGCTTACAAAACTCAGCACTGACGGAACTGTTTATTAGCACTACCAAATAAGTACAAAGTAACTGGGACTTGGAAACAGGCAGTTTTATTAAGCATGCTCTTCAGTCTAAGGTTTGTTTTGACCAACTGCAAACACTATGAAAATTTCAGAAAAACACACTGCCATGTAGTTTAAACAAAAAAAAAAAAAAAAAACAACAAAAAACAGCAAAACAAGAGACTATCTAACGACATAAAACCCACCATTTCCTGAACATGCATCAAGAGCTGCTGCTACGGGGGTTGGGGTAGCTGGTGCTGCTGCCCCTTCAGCTGCTGCAGGGGCTTCCCCAGGAGAAGCTGCAAAGGCATCTTGGGTGCAGTTTAAGAACAGAAATTGAAAGGAAATAGGATAAAGAGAAGAAAAATATAGTAAAAGAACCAAGTTAAATTGCACAGGTAGATCCCCTTATACAACATGAATGTTGTTACTCTGACAGCAAGACAAGTCGTGCAGCACAAAACGCTTTGTCTCTCTCCCAACCCCACACAAGCAAGTTCTAGACAGGGCTTGAAGATGGAGCTTCTTGGGTTGCCCACAGGAAGTACAGTGATTGTAAAAGAAGGCATTATTCTCATTGTATAAGGGTTCAGAGCAGCATGCTCATATACTACCCAAAATTAACTAATTAAGAAAGAGCAGAGGTATGGCAGTAAGTTGGTGTTAATAAAGACATTAAAAACTTGCATGCTCAAAGCCCATTATATGTGATTAATCTGCAACTGTGAATTTACTTGTATAGTGCTTTGCAAGCTTAAGGACTGTTATGAATAACAATCCAATTATATATTGGCAGACATCTGCATCTACCACCTCTAGTTTTTGAGTCAAGTCAGTCATGCAACATCTGAGAAATTGAACTTACTTGTTTCTTAACAGTATTCCAATTGGATCTTTCTGAAGCCATAACCTAATGTATAGGTTATATTTACTCAGATTGCTTCTGACAGATCAAGAATATTCATCTTAACTACCGGCCAGCCATAGTTTGTCTTTCCTTCTTTCAAGATCACCTCTAGGCCAACCAGTCAAGTCAGGGAAAACAACTGTTTTATGGTTTTGGAACAACTTGTTCTTGAGTTTTGTTTCAACTTTTTTGTTTGCCACCTGATAAGTAGTATGTTTAAATTTCAAGCAATGAACATTTACAGCATTATCCCTAGGCTTAAACCACCACCTGTAGCTCTTAATTCCATGAAGTAGTCCTAATGGACAGTGCCATTTGGACTATCCTCATAGGCAAGCATTTTCTTCACAAAAAGGCCACACAATTAAGATTAAATACTTCAAGACGCTCACAAAGGTCATTTTTCTACTGCTATGAAGTTAGCAAGTTTAAAAAGAAAAAAAAAAAATCTGTTGGGGAATACTGCAATTGCACTGTCAAACTAGTATGGGGAAAAGCTTAACATGCTTTAACTTGAGTGTCAATTTTAAAATGAAAACAACCATTTTAAAAACAAGTTTGTGCCAGTTAATCTAAAAAGCTCAGAAGAACATGCATTGAAACTTCAACAGAAGAGATGAAAGCCAATTAGTCTTGTACAATAGAATTAAAATGAGTTAGTAGCAAAAAAAGGCCTGCTAATAAGCCATTTCAAATATAATTCTATTTTTCACATAACAGGGTTCAACAATAAAACTGGATGGCAGTTGTCCAAGTTAAAAAAACAAAACAAAACCAAAACCAAACATAATTAGTCAAACAACACAGTATGACATGTATGCCGGACACTGGCATACAACACGTAGAAGAAATTCAACACAGAACTGGACTGAAGAGTTTTGAATTGTACTGTGTGAGAATACGCTATGCATACAGTCACGTGTGTTGGGTTTTGCTCCACAGGGCCAGCTTTCAGATGGAAGGTCACCCTGGGCTCTTTCAAAACAGCACATTTCTGTCCACACAAGCTTGTAGGCCAACAATAAAGAAGCTGGTCAACACTACTTATGATTATTTCACAGCATGAAAGGATAGACTCTAGATTTCATCTAAAGTGATATTTCAAAATGCATAGTTAGTCACTAGTTCTGTGTTGGGACCCCTTCAGCCTCAGAGTAACAGCTGTTCCTGTTCCAGATGTAGACTACTGAAGTACCATGTGCAACAGCCATAGAAATTCGGGTGGGCACAAATTCCTTCCAGCCCAAAGATGGAAGGGAACAGTTAGCTTGGTACCAGCTTTATTATTTATTGCCACTTCTGAATAAGGTTGTTTCCAAGCATTATCATTTTCTTTAGCATCATACTTGGGTTAAATGGCAGGTGGGATAAACACCTAAGTTCACAAAGGAATCTAAAAAAAAAATGCTATGTTAAGAACTTTAAATATTAATTACCTGAAAAGTTCAAGAAACCTATATGAGCACAGAGACAAACCAACCTGAACAGGTGACCCTACAACTCAGTTCAAACCAAGGGTTTGTGGTCTGGTTTTTCTTTTTAAATTAGTGCTTATCAAGTTCTTTGAAGCCTTTCAAAATTCACCTGCATAGATGCCCTCTGCTAAAATCTAGCATGATATGTAGAAACGGATACAATTAAATACTGGATTTTTTTATCAGGTTGGGGTTTTTTTAAAGGACCATTTATTTTCTTCTTTGTTCTTCCATACTGGTGTAGTAACCCTACATTTGCATATCGAGCACTGTAAAATATTTTCTCCTTTTAAAGCAGTTCCCATATTTACTCAGTTTATGTCACTTCCTTACATTTGCACACCTTCTGCTTGAAAAGTGAATCTAGCTTTTGACTTCTAAACTCTAGTTGTACGTGATCCTCACTTGGGTTTATAGACAGCCTGGAAACTTAAAGAAACGTTGCTGAAACCTTTGCAAGTTCACACTGCATCTATTAGGAGTGATAGGGACATATTATGTACTGCGTTAACACTCAAATTGTTAAGTAAAGGTAGTTCTTATTGAAATGGTATGCACACAAGGGCATTTTTAAGTTCCAAAACACTGAAGTACTGCTTCAATACATCTTGCCTGCAGCAAAATAAGTGTTCCTGAAGAGTGATATGTTTAATTTCATAAATTCTGGCTTTATTTGATGCCATGGCATCAACACGTGACAAAAGTTACTCACACATGATGATACAGCTGACTTGTCATTTTATGTATTAAGCAAGATGTGAAAGAACCCTAAGGGATGTTACAAGTATAGGAAAAGTCACAGAACTGAAGTGTACAGGTGAAAAGAGTATTTTTCTGTTTCCATGCTTTCTTTCTCTTCAGTCACCTCTCATAACTTTGACATGGAGAGCCTGACCTGACTTAAGAAATATTCCACTATGGTCAGTGCTAGGGAAGAGTCAAGAATTATGGGATTTTTGTTGTTGTTGTTTGCTTTTTAAAATAAGTGCTAGTTTGCTATACCACCATGTTCCAGCATAAGGGACATTCATTAGTCTTTAAATGCTAAAAAGTCTTGATTATTTTGCCTTTAGTTTATTTAAAGGGAAAACCATAGTTCTGCCTGCTTACGATTCATGTCATACGAATGCCTAGTAACTGACATTTGTGCAGTGTCTGCCATGACTTGTTACTTGCACCACTTACAGCATAATCGCAACAGAGTGGAACTCAAGAGCACATTCCTAGTGTCCAAAAATATTGTGTCCAAATTCTATTATTGAGATACACGGCATTTCAGGATACTTGGTCTTTCTTCTACCTTTATATTTCTCCTTGTCAGGAATGATTCCAGCTGCACTTTGAAAACAGCCTCCTCTTGTTTATCTTAGAAATAAGATAAGGAATTCTTCAGGTTGGCCCAGGTAACTGAAAGCTCACCCATTAATCAGACTGAATTCTTTAAAAAAGCTGTGCTGGATCAATTCTGCATTTCTCATCTGCTTTCCAAGACCATCTTAGAGATGAAGACAAAATGCAGAGCTGCTTTTTCTCTTACAGACAAAGCCCGGTCCTGGGCAGCACGCAGGCTCCTATCAGCGAAAGTAACAGCGATATAGTGCAAGAGAGTAACAGTCAACAGACATTCCTGCAGTCTCCTCTTCTGCTTCTTCAATCATCTTGGCTGCCTTTTTCCTGCAACTTTCAGCTTCCTTTCCCTACCCAGCCACTCCCTCCCTGCACATTCTTTGCTCTGGGATCGCTGCTCCTGTACCTTCCCCTACCGCATCTCACTGCAAAGAACAGTGTAAAGCAATCAAGAACTGGCAAGCTGCAAAAAGTTAACGTGACCTTGAAGGCTGTATCTCTAGCAGACCTCGAAGGTCAAATAACTACTTGTTAAGTGTAAGCATGCCTAGCACCCCAAAAGCTAGAGAGCAACAGTGTCTGTCCAAAACCTACCACTTCTTGCACTGTACAGTGTTAAAGTAACAATGAATGTTAGTATGGGACATCACTTATGGCACCGGCTTCAGAAAAATCAAGGAACAAAACCCCCCCTGAGTAGAGAGATGGAAGTTCAATATGGACAGCAGGATCTTAAAAGGGTCTGGCCTGTGGGTGTCTGGAAGTCACTGCAAAAGTACCTTCGCTGCTGAGCGTGTTTAGAGATTTTTCTTCTTGAGAACTAGATGTTTTCTGCTATTGTAAATAATAAAACCTTGCTTTGTCCTGAAGTGTTCCAGGAAAAAGTCAGTATTCATCTAATATACAATCCACTGGAGATTTATAGTATTTGAGCAGCGAAATACATTTCCTTTAAAAGAAGAGATCAAGTCACAGAAGTCTGGATACTGCAAAAGTAAAATTCTTTCCACATTGGGGGATGAAGGCAGCTCCATTTAAGATGCGCCACCAAGTAATCTAATCAGTTAAATCTCTAGAAACTAAAAGCATCCAGCCCTCTGCCACTTCATAAACATGGAAGTAGACAGATGATTTGGTAGCAGCCATTTTTCCAAGCACAGAATAGTGGAAAATGCAGGGGGAAAAAAAAAAAAAAAAAAAAAAAAAAGAGAGAGAAGGGTATATCTTGCTGCTGTAATACTGGAAGAACAGGCAAGGGTAGGTGTTTTTCTAACCCTGTTGCAAGTTTATAGTGATTTCTAGCCATTTAACTATTGCTTAATTTTTTCAAGTCATAAATCTATGCTAAATTGATAACTCAATTTGAAAGTGCTGTATCCAAAAACTGGCTCAACCCCAATGTCTACACATCAGAAGTTTCACACACCATGCATCTGCAGGGGTGTTAATGAGCACAGGCCTTGGCTTCTGTAACAGGCTTCTGAGAATAACCAAGGTCAGACCCTCTTGCTCCTAGTGGTATCCAGAACCGTTGCCCGTGACTATTTTAAAATTGCTTCTGAACTACCTGATCCTGTGGCACTTAGACTATTATCCATCTTTGTAAAAGGAGGGGTTAAGTAGCATGTAGCAGTTGTACTCCTTTCTTTCAGCTTCTCAGCAGTTTTATTGGAGATACCATGGAGCTGTCTTGTTGAAGTTAGCCCTCAAAAAAATTTCTAACTGAGAAATTTCAGTCTTTAGGAAACACCTTTGTAGTCAAACTGTTTATGTACGAGACCTCTCCAGCACTCCTGTCACTAGAAGCGCTAGATAAACACATCCCACAGAGAACATACAGGAATTTAGTTTTGATAGCAAGTATGTTATTATAATTCCTGACATTCATTGTCATGCTGGAAGCATGCATCAGAGGAAGAGAAAACTAGAAAAATACAGTGGTCAGGTGATCTTTAACATGTTAATAGTTTGTAAATTGGAACATGTTTCCATTAACCTGAGTTGGTATAGCGTTGAAAAGAAATGGTAGTTTCTGACACTACAGTTTCCTGTACATTAGTTGTATAGTTTGCATTTAGTACAAGTTCATTGCCACTTTAATTTACTGTTAATGCTATGTGAAATAAAACACAGACTCTAGAATGCTGAAATATAGTAATTTCAGCTGGCTCAATACTATACGTACAGAAAGGATCCAAAAGAAACACAACACAGCTCAAGCACAACTTGTAATGAAGGCGCAGGAAGCTGCCATGTCCATCCTCTTCAACTATGAAAGCACAACTGCCTTTCCCAGAAATTGTAGTACAGTGCATAGTTACTGAATAATGTGGAAAGAATACCTGCTTACCCCAGTGTGGGCCTGAAAACTAATGTTCTTAGCTATTCAACCATAAGGTAATTAAGTCCTAAGTGTATACAATTTTCCATTTCCATATATATGCAGAGGAATCTATTAGCTAAAAGCACACCAAACAGGTAGTTGGACAGATTACATTTCCTGTTCCATCTAGTATCCAAAACACAGGAACCTCTGGTATAGTTGGTTAAATGTGAAGCTTTGTTCTAACAGCTGAACTCAGTATTTCTTTATCTACCTTATGAGCTGGCATAGAGCACTAGAGCAACCAAACTAACCTCCAAAGAGATCCACTTCAGCAGTGGCAGCAGTAATAGTTGTAGTTGTAGCACCAGCAGCTGAAGTAGTTGTAGTATCAGTAGGTGCAGTAGTAGTTGCACTAGGCTCTGGGGCAAATGGATCTGAAATCTGTGGCTCAGAGGTAACTCCAGAAAGTGCAGCCAGATTATCTGTATGCAATCACATAATAAAGATCAAACAGGAAAAGTAAGGGGAAGAGGAAGAGAGACCACAATCACTCAACGCCAGAAAGTTAGAGCTTTAATAAGGAGTCTTAACATTCAAAAGTCTTAGAAATCAAAAATATTACTCACCCTCTCCCAAGAGGTCTAGTGATTGCCCATTAAAATGACAGCAGAATAAAGAAACAGACCAATTAGTAAAACTGCCAACCTGAAGATGCTCATTAGCCATATGTTTATCCTCTAAGTGACATGTCTAGGTTAAACGTAATTTCTGCGCTTGATTTTCCAATATTCAGGAAGTTATTGTTACATGACAAAGCTCATTCTGTTTAATAGCTCTATTTGAAACAGAACCTGTACATAAATTTCACGTATTTGATGAGTTCCTTAATATCTAATCAGCAAGATCTTAATACACTGTTAGCATTTATCAGTTCTGTTTGATACGGTTGGTTTTCTTTTCTTAAACTGTAACAGAGAGAACCAAGTAGTGGCCTATAAGGGTTGACAGGAAGGTCTCCCACCTTTCAATACCCTGGGATAAAGCCAAGAACCACTTCTTTAGAAGCTTGACTCACCACTATACTAGTTTTCTCTTGCATTTAGCTTAGCAGTGTGAGAGTAAGACCAGAAGCATGTAGACTTCCTTGAAGTTCATGAACAGCTAACATCCCCCAAGAACACTGAAAATCTTAAATGCAAGTTCCTGGGCCTAACAGCACACAAATTTAAGACTTTCACCAAGTAAAAAACCCAGTGAACCCCAGTGCTCACATATGGGTACAGTAAACAGACATAACTAAAGCCTACTGAAAACAGTGAGCTATTAGCAGAGGATACTCAGATACCAAAGAGAATCTCAGGATAATTCTGCTTAGTTGCAAGTATTTTCTAGACCAAAGTAGTCTGAAAGCAGTCAAAAATCAATATTAGTCATTAAAAGTAGACAGAATTCAGCTTACTGTTCTGCCAAAGGGAGCTGCTGTGATCTACCCATTAGCTCTAGAAGCCTTCATAAAACTGGCACTAAAGCCAGGGTACTCAAGCAGAGAGCAGCTTGCAAATACAGTGTTAAGTTACTTCAGGATACAGTCAAAGGCATCCCAACTGCCCCAACTGTATTCTGAGAGGCAGACAGGTTGTGGTTCCTGTACTTGAGACAAGCGTTTAACAAAAAAGAAAAAAAAATTTAAAAAATAGTTGAGCAGCTCCTCTTTGTAAGCTTTTCCTGCATTTGTGATACAGCAAGCACACTATGCAGGAACAACCACCTCTGTTAACATTTGCTATGAGGAGTATGAATGATTGACAACATAAGCAGGCTGGCTCTGTTCCAACTTCGGTTCCTTAGTCAACTGTTTCTGGAAGCCAATGAAGCATCTTTAATGACAGACTTTCCTACACAAAAACAGCTATAAGCTATAAAAACCTGTGAAAACTAACCAGGTTGGCCTATTACATTTTTATACTACTGTTAGAATAGTCTGAGCTCAACAACTACTTATTTACTAAAGAGTAGCTCAGTGCTGCTCCTAGATTCATTGTACATGTAACAGGGTCATGGGTTCATCTGATCCACACTGAACAGCAAGCACAGAGTCCAAATGCTTTACTATGGGTCAGTATGTAGGAAGCAAAATGCTTTGAGCAAGCACAGCTCAAGCTTCACAAGTTTACTACACTTGTTAAAAAGGCACCAATAAACCACATCAGTATTTTTGTAATTGATTCCTTGGGAGAGCTCTACTTGAGACTGACTGTACAAGCTGAAGTAAGTCAAAATACCATTCTGAAAGAGCGTAACAGTATATTAAAAATGCAGCACTCTGGTATCTCATTACCGCATACCAGGTGGATGTCTCACAGCCAGACTTCAAATAAGCAACTGTTGGCAAACTTTTATATATTTTTGTTATCCATTTATGTTATAGACCACAATACTGTGAAATTACAATTATCCAGCATGGCAATCTACACTTAGTTTTAATATGGGAAAGATTAAAACCAATGCTTTATGGTATAGTAATATTAAAGTCACAATACTAATAGCAAATCCATGTTCTAAGGCACACTGCGAGGTAGTTCAGAACAGAAACTCAAGTAAACTTGCTTTTATCAGATCTCACAAGGATGCTGAATTTGACTTAGTGTATTGCTGGTAATACTACAGCCTGGCTTGCATGGCAAATGCCTATCTACTCACCTTGCAGTATGTTGCAGGCAACTTATTACCCTACCTTGATCATCTTCCATTAGTACAAAAGTGTAGATTTTCACAGGTTGTAGTATTTCATTTGCTAGATAACTTATGTTGTATTCAGAAATATACCAGGCATACAACAAAATATAGTGTACTGTATGTACTACTAAATATATAGTGTATTATACCGAATATAGAGCATATGCCAGAATACACAGAATCTACACTGCCAGGGAGAGTGCGATAGCAAGATTGCTTGTTGGTGACGTATTCCTGAGTTTTATGTAACATTTAAAGTGCCAGTTTGATGCTGCATCTTAAAGTATTTGATATTCACATTTTCCTAGCTATTCTGAACTGCAGCAGCTCTTCCAGCTTCCTCCCCCTAGTACTTCTTTCGCATGAGTTCCCATGTTAACTTACTGTGGGTCAGAAGAGTTTTGCAGATGAGGAGGAAGCTTAAGTAGCAGAGAAGTACTGTTATACATCCTCCCAAAAGGCCTGAGTAGAAGGAAGGTCATCTTGTCCAGCCTCCTGCTCAGAACATTATGTCCAACACGAGATCAGGGCAGTTATGGCTTTGTCTAGTTAGGTATTGAAAAATCTCCAGGAATGGAGAGTCCACTAGCTCACATCAGGGATCTGCTCCAGTACTGCCCTACCCTCCAAGTGCAATAATTTTTTCCTCATGTTCAAACAACCTCTGAAGCCGCAATCTGTTGCTATTACCCTTCATTATAATCAAATATCATTTCCAAGAAAATGTTGGCTTTGCTCTGTAACTCCCCTTCAAATAGTTGTAAGCCACTATTAAGAGTTCCCCTTTACCCTCCTCTTTGCCAGATGACAGAGGCCCAGCTCCCTCAATCTCTTTCCACAGAGATGTGCTCTAGATCCCTCGAGTCCTGGTAGCCTGGTAGCCTTTGCTAACACCCTTTCCCTTTAAACAGGAAAGCCCAGAACTGGATTCCTGATGTGGCCTCATCTGCACTGATTAGAAAGCTCTGTAGTACCTATGAGACCGTACAATTTATAATGACTACTGGCTTAATCCTGCAAATTTAGTTTAAATAAGTAAATAAAAAACAACTAACCCTTAACACCAGCTCAAAGGATTTCTCATTATCAGATGAAATATTAATAGAAATTCCAGTATTTTCACAACAAAGAAATTCCAGTTCTCAATTTATGCATGTCTGACATGGTGTTTGGCAATTATTTAAAAGAGTAAAAAAAAACAACCAAAAAAAAAAAAAAAAACAGAAAAAAAATATCAAAATGCCAGTGCAGTAACAGGTCATCATACCTGGACTCCTGCCAGCAGTAAAGCAGACAAACTTGAAGCTTACCAAGTTAGCAAAATGTTATTCTGAAAGATAAGACTGAAGTATACTTGATGAGGTTAGCAATAATCCTGGCCAAACGAAAAAAGTTAGCTGCCTTTTTCTGTTGTGGAGTAAGAGGACTAGGTGCATTACTAGTCAATTTTAAAGTTTTCAGTAATTCGGAAGAATAAAACCACTTAAGTTCTAAACTACAAGTGCTTTGTACAAATGAAAAAAAGGAAAAAAAAAAAAACTAAATAAATCAGCTTTCAACTGCAGTGCAAATCAATATTTTACACTATTAATGGCTCTTTACTCTGCATAAATGACCAACTGCTTGAAAAAGTTAGCTGAGGGGCCTGAGCAATTTTGAACATCTTGAAAGCTTGTGTTCCCATGCCTGGCAATGACAAAGCAAGACAAATAGAGTGCAATCAAAAATTGCGGAATAATTAGTCCCAAGCATCCTAAAACAGATGATGCTTTGGTCTTGCTTTCTGGGTGAGATTACATTTCAGTTAATAAGACTGACACTTCTGCAAAATAATATATTAAATTCAACAGATTAAATTGGAATATGAAAAACATGGTCTACATGACAACCATAGCTATCCTCTCATAATGAAGTGGCTGAGATATAATGTCAGCTTTAATGAACGAAAGCTAAGAACACAAATAGGGAATGCAGAAGCCACTAGTACCAAGTATTAGTATTCATAGCAGAGTCAGCATGACTCAGTGCAGCATTCCTGCCATGAGAGGGCTGATGAGTTCATTAAGCTGCCACACAAGATCTCTTAAGATTACACCACAGTGGGTTTACAACTATGTAAGTTAAATCACATTTACTGGCCTAATTCCTTGTCTTCACAGGACATGAGTGAACACAGCCTACATTTATTGCTGTCCCCTTCAGACCACCAGCTGCTAGTGCTGCCTGGAACAACAGGCTCAGTTCACCAGAGAGCTCAGATTTCAGAGAGCTGGTTAGGTATCCCTACTCGAAAGCAGTTAGTCCTCTTCTTCTGTTTTCATATTATTATTCTAAGCAGACAAGGAAGACTTTAATGTAATATGTTAAGGGTTGTCAGAGGCAATCACACTTGTAACAGAACTGATTCACTTGTTTTAAAAGATGTTTTTGATCCTACCCCTAATGACCTGTGGGCTCTGCTTTATGAAAAGAACAGTTGATTTCTGCCCTCACCTTGCCAATAAGCACATGAGCGGTTCTAGTTCTTCTGTTTTAAAGTGTTTACCATACCTGTTCACCTTCAGCCATCCCCTTCCTGCTCACTTTTAGTCACATAATCCTGGCTCCCCCCCAGCTTTGCAGTCAGGCCCTTATAAGCAGCTTATACTATTATGCGTATCCCTGGAAAAAGGAGCAGCCTTGTGCTGCGAAGGGATGCCTGACTGTCAGGTCAGCAGAAACCTGGGAGTGAACTGGAACATCCTGTGCTAGCAGTGAAAGAGCCAGGTTTCAGTTCAGCCAGGCAGGAAGATGAAGACTGCAAGAAGAGATGCTGACAGTGAGGTTTCTCTACCTCCCCATGAAGTTGCTCCAGCAGGGGCTGCTGGAGCCACCTGTCCAGTCGCAGCAAAATCTGGCTGAAGATCCAGAAGGTCACTGGATGGTTTGGAAGAGCTGTGAAGGAAAGGAAGAGAGGTATTAAATACTGGAGGAATTTGTCCATTTTAATCAAGTTAAAGAAATTCAAAAATCATGACCGGATTGTAGGAATTACCCTTAGTTTGGATGACTGATGAAACCATTGAGAGAGACATTTTTTTCAGGCCTTAGGATCAGAGCAGTGGCCATAAACACCTCTATTGCAGTAAGCGCCAAGAATACATTACACTCCAGGATGGGACCTTAGCTTTAATTACTTGATAATGACATTGTACCAGATCTATGAGACTTTTACAGTCCTAAAAAAAAAAAAACAAGCAAACAAACCAAACAAACAAACAACCCCCCCCCCAAAAAAAAAACAAAAAACAAACAAACAAAAAAAACCAGGTGGTCCCTAAGGACAGAGCAAACAACTGCTGCAACTGAAAACAGCTCCGTTCTACTTTAGTATTTCATTGTGCCATGTCAGAAAGCAAGAAACACGCATTTCCAGGCGATAAATAGGCATTAGAAGAGAGTTGGTAAAACTCCCGTAGCTTAAGCCAGCCAGATACTTACTTAGGAAACAAAGTCTAGTTCATTTAGAACATTTAAATAATAAACAATAGAAGCTCTTTCTTCAGTGAAATACTTATCTGACATATAACTGAGATTAGTCACGTCTTCGGACTTTTGGTGCAAGCTTAGAGCTTTTACATGCCTAAAGTTCCTTCATTTCTCCTCATTACAACTGAGCAACAGTGGTTTGTTCTGGTTTTGACTTGAAAGCAAGATTCAGATTTCCTCATTGATCAAATGTTTATTTTTTATTTTAACCTCCAGAAGTTTGTTATTTTTGTGCTTCATTAGCCAATTTGAACAGCAAGAAAAAGGAATCTTAATTCAGCAGTTTTAGAAACAGAATACTGAAAGTCAAAGACTAGATTTGCACATTACTTCAATCTATTCAATTAAAAGTTTATGTTGGGAATGGTACATCACCACTACTACACTGAAAGCAAATTAGAGTAGCCACAATTGGTTCTTTTTTTTTTTTTTGTTAGAGCTCATTTATGATCTATACTGGTAGAATAACGTAGCCCATCTAATACTGCTGTACACCACCTGTAAAATAAGCAAAATCTTGCAGGCAAGCCTCCTGTTACAAGTGTGACTTGGGCATCTTCTTCAAGCTCAGTAACTCAAATATGCTTTTTAACTTACCTGACTGGAGCAGCTGTAGAAGAAGTTGCAAAAAGATCAACTGGAGGAGATGTATCAATAGTTTTCGCTGGAGTAGAACTAGGAGATGTAACAGTTGTGGCTGGAGAAGACTGGAGAAATATTTTAAATATACATTCAATATACCAGCATTTCTCCACAAAAAAACTCATGCACAGATTCACATACTTTAAAAATCCAATTGTGACATCAGGTCGTCTTATTGTGAGCTGTTCCCCTCTTTGAAAGGATTTAAGGAAGACTGGGCTAAGTTTTCTGGGGGTGGTGGAGTTGAGAAACTCCAAGATGACTCCACCTAGTCTGGCTCAAGAGGAAATGCCTGTTGCATGCATTCAGAGCACCTGCAGACACCAGCAGCCAGCCTCATATGAGCTTTAGTCCCTTGGGTTCAAGACTCACCCAACATCTAGGCAAATAACTCAGATCTGTGATCCAGAGTTGCCTTACCTGCTTTTTAAAATCCCAGTTAGGGTAACTAACAGTTCCTATGTGTTAAAGGATTCTCAGCAAGTTCCAAGAAAATAGTTTGCTCCCCAACAAACTCCCTCCTCTCAGTTTTAAGACCATCTGGAAAAGGGGATGGAGCAAAGTATTTTTGTGGGTTTGTTTCTACATGTCAGACCCTTCACTTTGTCCACAGAATGAAGTATCTGTTCATCCACAGCAGAACCTTAGTGCTCTAATCATAGAAATGGTAGAAAATAAATGGTTAGAAACCAAGTTAAAAGTGCGTATATAAACAATCAGACTGAAGAGAGTTTAAAGAGCCATCAACAGTGCTAATGGTTAAGTCCTTGAGAAGATATAAGGGACAGCTTAGACTATGATTTTGCTTCATTAGCTCCTCCAGTTCTGGATAAAGATACCTTAAGAATGGCAAGGACAGACACACAGGAGAGTATATTGCAACTCCTTTGTGCACTTAAAGAATCAAGTTACCTTGAAGAGTGTCAGTTTAATTCTGAAAGATACTACGAGCTTTATTACAGCATCTCACATGCTAGAGAGATCCTCTGCCTAAGGAACAAAACCAAGTCCTATGTTTAGTACTGTTTGCCATTCTCATCACTTCCAAGAAAGAAAAAGTATTGCAAATTTGAAGTGATTTTTTTCTGCATTCTGATATTTCCCTTCCACCATCACAACTCTAGCAGAAGATGGATATAAGCTTTCTAGACTCTCCTCAAGGCTTTACTAAGGTTTGAGACTAGAATGGTCCAAATACTTCATGCAGATCAGGGAAGAGGCGGTTACTTCAAGTTGTAAGAACACTGTCTGAGGCATCATGTAGTTCTCACCAACTGCTACAGTACTAAACAAGAGAGGGTTTTTTTTAAAAACGGGTTTTTGGAAAGAAATTTAAGAGCTTTCACTAGAATCAACCACTGAACTGCCTCCCGCAGATTCTGAAGTTTTCATTGAGTTTTTTGGGCACAACATCCATTATTAGCACAGAACTATGGCACCTGGCAATGCTTCAGGGATGCCAGGAACTACTATTACTAACACCATAAAGCTCATTAGTTTATCTGACACTCAAATCAAGACAGTTTCACTAGCAACTCTTGCTTTAAATTACAGTGAGCAGTCTCGCTAATTAAGGTCAATTCTGAAACTAGGTATACTGCATGAAAGTTTTCTTCCTGGCTTTTCTCATGAATGCGGTTTTAAAAGAGTCAGAGCTTTCTCCTAAAAAGCTGCAAATGGACTGAAGAATTTGGAGGAGAAACACTATGGAAGAAATTTTTCGCTGACATGAGGATTGGGGGGGCGGTGGGAAAGAGAAGTTGAGATAAAAATATGTGTATCTTTTTTGCTTTCACAAAGCGTGACTATCAAATCCTGGCAAAGCTGCTTAGCATCCTGCACTGGTATAAGCACTATAGTCCTTCAGATCAGTGAAGTGCTTTTATGAGGCCATTATTTACAAGGCCATTAAAAGACGCAATTTTGTCAATTAGGCAGGGCCTAGGTGACAAAGTCTAAAAAGCAGATTAGGAGATGGAAATTTAACTCTTTATGACCTTAAGATGTTCTAAAACGTATCACCTGAACAAGAATTAACTAGTACAGCAATAGGCAGTATTTACCTTGCTCAGAGGAGAAGGAGCCCCAGATCTAGGAAAAAAAAAAAGGGGGGTTTCAGATAAGTACATTTTTGGAAACTATGTTTCAGGACATCAGAACTCCTGCAAAAAGACCAAAAACTAAGCATGACAGCTTTCTGAAGATCTCGACTGTAATGTCCTACCCATTTCTCAAACTTCCATGTGCCACATTAGACAAAGAATGAAAATTTTTCCTTCAAGTCTTAAATTAATCTTTTAAGCTAATTGGTATCACAGGATTATTCTGCCTTTTAAATAAGCTCTACTAAATGGAGGGAGGGCATAGATGCATGCAAATGTCTTGCTTTTGGGCCTACAGAAGCCAGTAGGAAAGAGTTACTCGGGCAAGATGTCAACATAGTGTAAAATCATGCAACAGCAGCAAAACAACACCAATGTGGCAGCAGTTATTTAACACAAGTCTTATGAGGATGTGTCAGTAAATTTTCAAAGTCTACTGTTCTTTTAAAGAAAGTCAGAGTTACTTTGAAAAAATGGTATTTAAAAGCATGGAAACAGTTAGTCGGAAAGTCCAAGCTGAAAGTTCTCCCACATGCAAGAAAATCCCACTAAAACTAATGGACAGAGCCTTAATCGTAAGTTAAAATGTATGTCAGTGCATTTGTTTACTTTCATCATTATCAGATATGAAAATAATGCTACATATTTTTAGAGCTGCTTTGATCTAAGAGATGAAAAGAAGAGTCGAAGTTAAAACTGCACCGGTATCAAACTAGCATCCATGCTACAAGTTACTTGAATTGGTTAAGTTCTGGGAGCTGTAGAACTGCTTAGAAGATCTGGAGCTATGACAAAAATGACCAAAAATAACTTAATGACTATATACAAAAGCAAGTAACAGTTTAGGTACAATTTAAAGAAGAAATCTATTTCTAAGTGTTCAAGCCATCTTAAAAACCATACATATCACTTGCATGCAGACATGGTTATATAAACATACGGACTTACCCTTCGCTAAATTGTAAGGAAAGCAACAGTGAAAGAGAAAACACAGGTTTAGCTTAATAATTCCTAGACTTTGTCATGACAAGTATCTAGTAAGAAGATGCAAAGCCATTAGAAAATAAATTTTGATGATAAAAGCCTCAGCAGCAGGGAAAAAACAGTTCCTTCTAGGAGTTTTCCATAGTTAATTTTACTTCATTTTGGAAAATGCCTAGCTGTTCGGTGTGTTGTTTCCCCCCATCCCCCAGTAAGAAAAAACAGTTGCCATTAAGATGACTTTCTAAGGGAAAAGAAAAGTCTAGTCTTACCACAGCTTAGCTTCCAGCTAAGTGACAAAAGGAGCTTGGGGGAGGCAAACCTAAACATCAACTAGTCTCACATTGTTACTATTATGCCTCAGTATATGGTACAACATCTATACCTACTTGTTGCCAGGTTTTTTTCCTTCCAGTGAGTTTAGATGTTGCTCAAGGGTCTCCATGAGACTGCTAGGAGCCTTGAAAGCAAAGAGAAAGATACACTACTAAACACACTGCATTGACCTAACAATACTTTGAAATCCAGCACCAACTTCCCTGAAGTCCGCCATGTGCATGCTCATGCTGTTATTTTATTTACACCACTGTGAAAATAGTGGATTTCCATGCTAGAAGTACTGAGGGAAAGACAGCTTTTCAAAGATAATACTGTGTCCAAATTTGCAGAGAGAAAACATTTATCTCTACTAAACAGTACCTGAAGCCTAAATCCAGGATGTGCCGCTCATCATGCTTTGAGTCAGTGTTAAACATTGACAACAGCACAGGCATCCACAGGGTTAATTTTAAGAGTAATAGGTTCAAGGTCATCCTTTCAGTTTTGCTTTTAGTCAGACCTCCAACACCTCTTCCATGACCAGAGGGTTAGATAGTATTTGCAGTCTAAACAAAAGCTAAGTCCTTTCCAATGCCCCCAAAACCAGCTACGTTTGGTTCAAGATTCCAACACCACAAAACTTTATAGCTGTTTCTTCTCAAAACGGTAGCCAGGTGCAGGTTACTGAACCCAGTAATCTTTCCAGATTTTGCTATTTTAGGCATCTACGGAAACTAAACTTTTTCAAGCCTCCCTGACCTCTGGTTTTATTTTAAGCAACCTTTCTGTGGTCAGGCAATACCCCCAGGCATGCACTTGCTGTTACAATGGTTGATAGGAAAAGTAGTAGTGAATGCAAAGAACAGTGTGCTTAGCTACTCTGGTATACAAATAGAATCCAGTTAAGTAGACCCCTATAAGATCAACAAGCAAGAAGGAAACCCTTGAGAGATACAGGAACATATAATAGTCAAGTATTTCATCAGGGTTACCGGTTCATCAGTGGTACAGTCTTTAAACGGGGAATTCTCTTTATCAGTCTCTTTCAAATCAACCACAATTCCTGACAGCAATACCTATGGTATTTTTCATAAATAATGTCTTTAATTTCAGGGTATACATATGCATCAAAAAAGTCAGTTTGCGATGCTTGAAAACGGACTATCCACTGCTCCTATGTACAGTATGCTGAAAAACAGCTGGCTGGCTAAACCAGATGTTTCAGGATGCTTAGTTCCTGTTAGTACCAATGCACTGCTAAGTGTACGTAATATAGTGTTTGCATATTAATTCTGGCATTAGAACTGAGCAGTAAGGTAACTTAACACATACAGAAATTTAAAATGCTCAAAAAATCCTTAAATGATGGCTTAAGTTAAATATATCCCACATACATATGCAATGCAGAAACATCTTAACCACTGCTGCTTTTATAGGCAAATTTATTAATTTTCAACTAATTTGAGCACAAGAAAGAATTTGGTTAAACACAAGTGACTTAGTTATAAAAATTCTCCAGCAGCAAGAAAAAGACGAGCAAAGGCTGTCATAAAATATAGACTTCTGTGTATTCTACATATTCAAAAATACTACTGCGTAAGATAGAAGTTGTGCCTACTTCAACATGTAAGCAGAAAGCTATGTGTCAAAAAAAAAATCCATGATTTCCTGTTACCAGTTACTTCTACACACTTTAAATAGCTTTCTAATGTATTATTCAAAGGTTTTTAAAAGCCAACAAGGTAATATGAAACTCATCTACCAAACAGAATTCATAGAGGAAGCCTCAGAAAACTTCTACCTAGATAAAACAATTTAGAAATTATATGTTGTCTGGTATCCAATTTGCAAGACTGAACATTGTTTAATTTTTTAGATACTACTTCAACATTATACTAACCTATCAGTCAGCATCATGGTAGAACCTTAGATGTGGGTTCCCCACTAGCTATTTGGGGCAAAAGTGCCATACTTTAAGAATTGCCAATGAATAAAAATGAGCCAAGCCCTTTAGCTGCCAAGATGCCTCCTCAGCCTCCAAAACTTTGCAGCCGAACTCGAAAGTCCAAAGTTGACAGCTATCAGCTTGTTACTCAGTACTGTGATCACTTGTTTGGATCTACAGAGTGCGTACACACATCAGGTATCAACAGAACCAGCTTCTTGATGAATACTACTGACTATTGACATGGCTTGCTTTAAGAATTCAGGTATGCCATTAATATTATATATAATTGTATATTATTTATTAGCTGAAATTCAGTTTTATTATTCACCTTTTATTTATTTCTCACTGAAATACACTGCTTAGGCCCTATACACAATCTATAGCATGTTGCAGATTAGCCTGAGTGAGTACCAAGCAGTCTTTGGCAGAATACAGCTATGACGGACTACTTGAAAAGACCACTGAAGTGATCAGGCAGTTGGACTAGATGATCATTGTAGATCCCTTCCTTCCAAAGGAATTATTCAGTTCTGTTTTAAAGTGTTGGTCCATGAGGTGCAAGGGACCCTCCAGTAGCAGTAACTAAGGTGCCGCTGAGCAAGTGCGGCACTGACTGATGATGCAGAACAGGGATTGTGCAGTCCCAGCAGGAAGCCTTTCCAACAGGCTGACACAACACAAGCAGAAGCAGATAAAAGTGTTACAGGAATTTATAAAGCATATTTCACTAACTGAGCTTAGGGTGAGTTATTCTGGTTCAAGGGCTTAGTTTCATGACTGAGTGGACCTTGTTAAAAAAGAGCCCCTGAGGTGCAGAGTTAGATGAACATACTACTTCAGCTATTTCAGAATTGGGTTTGGTATTCCACATGCTGCTAGAAGTCTAAGCTTTCCTCTGCTGAAAGAGTGGCCAGACTTCATAGCCCCGTAGCATCTGAAACCCAAAACGATTAAAACACTCTACCTTCTCATCATGTCTCACTTTCAGAATTTTTAACTGGCTTTTGAACCAAGAGAACCACTATTCTGATGCCGATTTAAACCAGGCTTTCAAGAGGCTTTCAAAACTACACATTCATAGGTTATGAACACTTAGGATTTACAACTATTAAGCAGTTTGGGCTGCTCTTCCATTCCAATTTTACTGGCACCAAAACTGCCACAAGTGAACTCTTTGTCATGGATCTCTTCCTCCAAGTAAATATCCTCCTCATATTAAATACGAAGCCAGGCACTCAGGCCAATTTTCAAGTGATATTGAAAATGGACCAGCACAATAGAATTTAAGCAGCTACAGCATAAGTGAATTTTGATATTAAAAGTTTTGATGCACACTGACAGAGAAGTTTAGCAATCAAATCACTTCTGCATTTAAACTTCAAGTTCACTATACCTAAACCAAGACAGTAGTGCTAGTGCTGCTCTGAATTTCATCTCTGGACCAAGACTGTGTCAGGAAGAGATTATGAAGCAAGTCACACCACAATTGCTATGCAGTCTGTTGTCAAAAATGAACTTGAGCAACAAGCTGCAAAAATCTGTCCTTTAGCAAAGGAAGAGCAAAACAGCCTACCCTTCAACTACAGGTCGGATGTCATCATGAAAGACATTATTTTAGTTATATCAGTCTTCAAAAATAGCCTTGGGCAGTTCTTAGCTGCAAGTTGGGAGGGCTTTAAAACGTTAGGAGGTATGACTTCCTACCAACATTTACATTCCTGATGTGCTTCTTAATTACAGAACATTTAGTTATTACACAGACCCAAAAAGACTACAAGAGCAGCTGTTGTGGGTTAAACCCAGCCGACAGCCAAACACCATGCAGCTGCTCGCTCACCCTCCCCTGGCCCTGGGGATGGGAGAGAGAATTGGAGGGGTAACTATGAAGAGACTCATAGATTGAGATAAAAAAACTGTTTAATGATTTAAATAAAATAATAGCAACAACAGAAAATACAAACGAGTATATGCACAACATGATTGCTAACCACCTGCTGACCAATGCCCAGCCTGTTCCTAGCTAGCAATCCCAGAGAAGAGAAAATCCCAAAATTGTAATCCTCAATCCTGGAAAAAGAGAGTGAGCTTCCCAGCCCAACCTCATCTATATACCGAGTATGACACTGTATGATATGGAATATTCCATTGGCCAATTTGAGTCTGTTACTTTGGCTGTGCTCCCTCCCAGCTTCTCGTGCACCTGCACGCTAACAGGACATTGGAAGTTGAAACACCCTTGACTTCTCAGCAACAACTAAAAACTTCATTATATTATCAACATTCTTCCCATACCAAATTCCATAATGAATCCAAAACACAGCACTACTCTAGCTACTAAGAAGAAAACTTAGCTCTATCCCAGCAGAAACCAGGACAGAAACTTACCTGCGTAAGATCAGGGATATCGCCTTTGTCAATTCCAACTTGCTGTGGACACAAAAGAGGTAAAATGTAAGTCCATTATTCCACTGCAGCAGGCACTTTCAACTAGAACTGTGGCACATGCTTCAACCTATAATACACTGTATCTTTAGAAAAAGACTACAGTTAGCAAGCGCAGATGCCCATCTTTCCAGTAGTTACCCTCAACCACCTGCAGCAGTCTTTTTTTTTTTTTTCTGTCTGACAAAGTAAATATCCATTTAAAAATCAGGAAAAAAAATAGGGAGTTTGAATCCACCCAGGTAAAGTTCATACTCCATACTACAAGTCAGGCAGGGCTTTCTGGTCATACACTGTTGCCTCAGAAGCCAGCATTAGTGAACTGCCAAACACATACTATCCAGATACCTGATTATCCTAATTAAGTTATCTAAAATTCAGCCAGTGAGCAAATCCTAGAAGACATCGCTTAAAAAATGCTAAACTTCAAGTCACTTTGTTGTTCTGCTCTTTTCTCCTAGCATTTCAGATACAGCAAGATGAAGTCTACATCTGCAATCTTCTATTAGTTGTCCTGTTGCTTCACTATGGCTCTTCAAAGGTGGTTTAGTTTTTCCAGAAGAACAAGCTCCACTGAACCTAGTAATCCTGAAGCATAGTTACTACAAATCCTGTCCTGCAAAGATGATCAATAGGTGTCTAAAGTACTTCACTCCCTCAAGTTCAACATCTGTGTCAGACATTACATGCCATTTGGGAGCCTAGCAGGCTCCTTCATAAATAGTTAAGTAAATTACCAAAGAAACTAACTTTATTCAGCTCATTACTGCTGTCCATTATAATGAAGCATGAAACATGGAAAATGTGTGTCTTGTGCCAAGGAGCCAACTACCACAAATGAGAGCCCAGCAAATGAGTTAATTAACCATGTAATATGTCTATTATCCACGTAAGAGAGTGATGACAAGGATCAAGACCAGGAAAATCTCACATTCCAGTTAACTTGTAGTTGGCTGCAAAGACTTAAAAAGCAGACTTATAACATCATTATGCGCTTATTCCTAATTGCCGTATATTCCTCTAATGTTCAACCCTGTCCTAGAAGCATGCATTTATTACAGTGTTTCCAAGAAATATTGATATGGTTGAAGTCACGTCACGTTACATTACCAGAAAAGTTGAGGCTGGCTGCACAGCAGACACATGGGGAAGTCCTAAGCAGGGCTTAACTACTTCAAGAGCCAAACAAGCAGATCGAGGAACTTCTATACTGCCTCACACTTATACACAGTGAGTCAGACGCTTAACAAGTGCAATTAAAATATCAGTGCTAAAAAGTTCACAAAATACTTAAGTGCCAGACTCCAGATGAATAGTAGTCACTTACCTCCGCAACTTTAAGAAACTCTGATACTCTGGTCATTCGAGTAAGAAATCGTTTGTAGATTTCAAGAGCATCTTTACATTGTCCTTTTTTCATTTCAAAAAATTTCTCTAGAGAAATAATTTGGCAAATTTCAGTTAAGATATCTTGCATTAGGTCTGCATTCATCAGCAATTCTAGTTTTCAGGAAAATCATGTTTCAAGAATATTGCACTATGTCAACATTTTTCTACATGGATGCTAACCTAGTGGCATTCCTAGTTCTCAGTAGAATTTAGAAGTTGGGCTTGCTGAGCTGCTAGGAAATTATATAGTCCAGAAAATTGCACCCAACCAGTCACAGCATTGTGTGTGATGTAAACCAGGTTTTTAAAGATAAAAAGTAAGCAGGTGAAGTAGCTCCCAATCTTAAAATTCAGAGTAATTAAGGATACTTAAACATATGTTAGTGTCCTCTCCCAAGTTGTCTTCACTCCAAAGAAAAGTATTTTCCACTGGAGTAGCTCTCTAAAGTTGGTTCATGTCTATTATCAAGCACAACTGCCACATGTTTCAACCTGAATTTACACTTTTAGTAGTAGTAGACAGCAAAATCTCAATCCAATTGGTATGTCCAACTCATTTGCATCTGCTCCCTAAATTTCTCATGCCTATAGTTTCAGTCAAAACACCTGGGACTTACTTTAATGAAACCTCCAGAAAGCATTGTGACATGGATATACAAAAACTGGAACATCTTTTTGCCTGTTCTGTCTCTGTAACCTGTCTTTCTTCCTGTTCTAGCTGCAACCAGAGGTTTAGGCCAAGCAATCTCAGCTTTTAGCTGTCTATAGACCAGCTGAAGTGCTTACAAGTTTTAATAGCTGAAGTTCACTTTCTACAGGGTCAGTTATGTTTCCTGCAGTTTATGGCAACTCCTGGTTTTAGACTTCAAAACAAAGCCCTTTGCAGAGACAGCTTAGTCCCTGTGTGCTATGCTGGCCATCATGCCAAGCTGTCTGAGCTTCAGAACACGCTCACAGCCTCCTATAGACTTTGTAGGCTGACAGCAGGTAAGGTTCTGGAAGAGATCCAGCTTTGGCAGTCATACTTTCAGACAGATCAGGAATGTTATTCAAGAACACATCACTTCATATAATGCTACCACATAGCATATATAAAAGAAGAATTTGGGCATGTTAAAAATGCAGTCAAAGAGCAAAAGTTGCTTTGCTATTTTTTCAGGACATTATTATGCAAGCTCTCACAGGACTGTTTATTTCTTTAAGCACAGACATGCTCAGTATCTTTAAGTAGACATCTGTACAATTTTAAGGGCATATGACAATCCAGCCTCAGATGAACATTAATATAAGAGGTTATGGATTAAAGTTTTCTCTCACTTCAGAATAGAACAATCAAGAAAAATGTAGTTTTAATTAAAGTAAAAAAACTGAAGCAGATACAAAACTAATTTTTTATTTGCTCATGTTATGTGAGATACAGACACCAGGTTACTTACCTAGTAAGTTAATAACCCCATCATTGTAGCAAGCAAAAAGTTTGATAAGATCTTTAAATAGAAGCATGAATGCAGCATTTATGACACCATTTGTGAGTTCATTTGGATGAACCTACAAATAAAATACCAGTTATTTATAACAAATGTATTGAATGCAATCAGAAGTTTTAACTTGCACCAGGTATCTGATGCTGTTATAGATACAATCGAGCACTGAACACAAGCTTTCACACAAAGAAATCAAACCAAGATTTCTGTTAGCAGATCAAGGATTACTTTTGTCATCACTCCAAAACAATCCACTACAGCAGAGGAGTATTCCCATCAACAGTAAACATCTTAGTCTTGACTCCTTCACCTAACACAAAGAGGAGGAAGGCAGAGATGCTATTAACAAAGCTTTAATTAAACTGGACAAAAGATGTCAGTTCACAGCAGAGCTTAACAAAACCTCAGAAGTCTACTATATAATACAGTTGGGTTAATGATGTCAAGACCCTTCCAGTTCTCGGGTTAACTTGGGCAGAAGTGCTTATTTATTACAATATCTTTCTTTTATTAAAAATACCTCCTCTTCTGAGCCCACTATCACAATTCCTATGCCATTTAAGGAACGAAAAACACATTTGCAAGATGGGTACTTCTAAGGCTTTGCTTTGAAAGCTGCAGTGGGCCTTGTCTTTCACCTGGGAGTGTGTCCTGCCCACCAAGAACAGAACAACTTCAAGACTGATTCCTTCTGAGACCTCTTTGCAATGTTACAGTGTACCTCCTACAATAATTGACTCCTGTTTTTATCCTTAAGGCAGATAAACAATCCCACCAACATTAATAACATTATAAATATATTGTAGACACTTATTTCTATGAACAGTCTAGATTAAAGTTTAGCCAATTTAGTTTACAGATGAAAGCCAAACAATGCACATGTGGTATTTTAATGGCTTTTTCCCTCCCCCTGAAAAGAAGTTGGTTGCCAAGAGACAGATAAAAGATTCTTCAGCCTCCTTGTTTTATCCATTTCTTCCCCTCACTGATGCAGAAGATGAAGCTCCAAGGTCTGAGTTAGCATTCCTCAATGCCCTCATTTCCCATGCTGTTCCTCTACCCTCTCTACAAAGTAAAAAAGTGCAATCTGCACATTTCATACATATAGGAAAGGGCCAGTCTTCAGCACATTACCTCAGTGGGACTCTGAAAAGGGGATTTTTTTGACCCACATGATGGGATGATCAGTTAAGCAATACCTACGAGGTGAAATGTATTCATTACAATGCAACATTTATAACTCACTGCCCAGTGTTAATGCTGGGCCAGCTTCAATACATACATCAAATTCAAGTAGTGCATCAATTTGTTCCTGTAATATTGGCATACTCTTCAGCAGCTTTTCAGGAGCCATTGTTCTCATTACACCGTCAGCTCTGCAAGAGGGAATACAGATTAGAGGCCATAGCGGTTCCCCTCTCCCCCCAAGCTGATTTGTTGTCTAAACTTAAGCTTAAAGCAGCTGTAATCCATTTCAAATGTTTTGAGCACTGTCTGATTCTCCTGCTTCTCACATCATCATGAGAGCTGGCATGAAAAATGCTTCATGCAGCCACCCTCCCCGCCAGCAGGTGAGGAAAGGTTTTGTGTTAGAGTGGTGAATGCAAGAGATTGATCTCTTTATGGAAAGAAGACACCGAGAGTTTAAATATTTTGACAAGAAATACTGCCACAGAAGTACTTAGAGAACTTTTAGTCTTTATGCATTAAGTTTGTTATGAATAAGTAACGATAACTCATTGCTGACATGTCTGTGGTCACTGAAATAAAAAAAAAAAAAAAACAAAAAAACAAAAACCAACAAACTCTACAGGTTGTTTTTTTCCCCATCAAGTGCCACAATACATGCATACTAATTCAGTGACAATTTAAATCAAGGCAATATTTGCTTAGAGTCTCTTTCCGCAGTATTCCTGAGTACTAATTAATTCCATTACTACTCCATAGTATTTACACTGACTTTGACCTGCCTTATCAGTCCTGAACCATTACTCCTACAGGATCACACAACAGTCATGGATGTGTAACATTCCTTAATTGCCACCCAGTCTCACAGCAATCTTCACACATGCCTATTTTTATTTCTGAAATGCCACAGACCTGCACAATCAACATTATGTATTGCCCCATTCTGGCCACTGACAGGCATAGCATCTTCCCTGGAAATGCATACCGCTGTTCTTATTTTATGCTATACTCCGAGGCAGCACCTTGTTTTGAGCACCAGAAATAACATAACATAGAAAGCCTTTCCAGGAATATATAGCAAGGCGGGAATAGAAGGATTCCCAGGAACCAAACTTAAGTTTACTCAACACGAAGTGTTCAAAGGCACTAGGTTACAAACGGAACTTAAGGTGCTGGCACTACCGTGGCCTGCTGGATGAAAGCTGGCCTAAGATATCAATCCAACGAGCCATCAGCTTCTCAGCGATTCACGTTCCAGAGAGCTTCAAGAAATAACTACTCTGGTCCCCACTATGGGAATGGCTTCTAGCTACACAGCAAAGGTGTCACAGTAGGCACTGCACCTTCTGGCAGTTTGAGAAGCAGGAGAGGAAAGCCTGGCAGCAACGCCTGCACTATCAGCTCAGCATCCCAAGCTGCAGAATACATCAGAACTGCCAGAAAGATCCAGTATGCAACTCATGATTAGCAGAAGTATCTTTAGCATGTGGTCAATTAAGCTGCACCTTCAGAGGGCGTTAAGCCATTTGATGTGTTGTCTGTGCTTTAAGATAGAACCTAGAGCCATTAAGGTCCCAGTTAGGAGTCAGAAACTGTCCTGGGTTTGTGTGGCAAGGTATTGGTGGTGGGGGATCTGGAGGGATGGCTTCTGTAAGAGGCTGCCAGAAGCTTCCTCTGTGTCCAAGAGAGCCAAGGCCAGCCAGCTCCAAGACAAACCTGCCACTGGCCAAGGCTGAGCCCATCAGTGATGGTGATAGCACCTCTGGGATAATATATTTAAGAAAGAGGAAAAAAACTGTGGGAGAGCAATTGCAGCTGGAGAGAAGAATAAGAAAACGTGAGAAACAACCCTGCAGACACCAAGGCCAGTGAAGAAGGAAGGAGAGGAGGTGCTCCAGGCGCCAGAACAGATTCCCCTGCAGCCCGTGGTGAAGACCATGGTGAGGCAGGCTGTGCCCCTGCAGCCCAGGGAGGTCCACAGTGGAACGGATATCCACAGAGCAGCCCATGGAGGTTATCGGTGGAGCAGGTCTCCACCTGCAGCCCGTGGAGGACCTCACACCAGAGCAGGTGGATGTGCCCCAAGGAGGCTGTGACCCCGAAGGAGGCTGTGACCCCGTGGGAAGCCCACACTGGAGCAGGCTCCTGGCAGGACCTGTGGCCCCATGGAGAGAGGAGCCCACGCTGGAGCAGGTTTGCTGGCAGGAGCTGTGACCCCGTGGGGACCCACACTGGAGCAGTCTGTTCCTGAAGGACTGCACCCCGTGGAAGGGACCCATGCTGGAGCAGTGTGTGAAGAGCTGCAGCCCGTGGGAAGGACACACGCTGGAGAAGTTCATGGAGGACTGTCTCCCATGTGGGAGGGACCCCACGCTGGAGCAGGGGAAGACTGTGAGGAGTCCTCCCCCTGAGGAGGACGGAGCAGCAGAGACAGTGTGTGATGAACTGACTGTAACCCCTACTCCTCATCCCCCTGTGCCGCTTGGGGGAAAAAGGTAGAGAAAATCAGGAGTGAAGTTAAGCCCAGGAAGAAGGGAGGGGTGCGGGGGAAGGTGTTTTAAGATGTGCTTTATTTCTCATTATGCTACTCTGATTTGATTGGCAATAAATGAAGTTACTTTTCCCAAGTCTGGTCTGTTTTGCCCATGACAGTTATTAGTGAATGATCTCTCCCTGTCCTTACCTCCAGCCACAAGTCTTTAGTTATATTTTCTCCCCGTCCTGCCCAGTTGAAGGGAGTGATAGAGTGGCTTTGGTGGGCACCTGGCATCCAGCCAATGTCAAGCCACCACAAAAAAAAAAAAAAAAAAAAAGTTCTGACAAATACCAAACTGCTCTGGGCTGGGTTTTGTTGTTTGTTTTTTGTTTTTTTTTTTTTTTTTTTTTGGTTGGTTAGTTGTTTTTTGGGGGGTTTTTTTGTTTTGTTTTGGTTTTGGTTTTTTTTGTTTGTTTGTTTGGGGGTTTTTTGGTTTTTTTGGTTTTTTTTGTTTGTTTGTTTGTTTGTTTTTTTTTTTAAATAAACACAGTCCCTGTGGGAAATAAAACCAGTAGTTTACAACCTTATTCTGTGTTAAGTTTATAACTGTTTGCTGTGTTGCCCGCTAAGACCTTCAGGTGTTCACTTCTGTTTTCCTTTGTAATTAGTCATCTTTTTTATGCAAAGTGTCTGCTCAGTAATGAAAAATCCTAAATACAGTTTCAGAGCATTTCATTCTCCAAATCCTAAACACAGTCTTGCTGCAGCACAATTTAACAGGAGTCAGATTTAAGACCTATCACTAAAAGCTCCCAGTTCCGCAAGGCACCTTATTTTAGTTTTCAGTGCAAATAAGTGGCCTTACTGCCCACAGACTTTCCTCTCATCCTTTGTGCAATTTTTAACCAAATTATAAGTACTTAAGAAATCCAGCCATATTGGTGTTTCACTGTGGCTAAACAAAGAATGTAAGAACAAAGTCATTAAGACTAAAATTAAACAACGCCGCAGACAAGATTTTCATGTGTCAGGCAATCCCATCAGTTTATCATATCTAAGCTTTGCTTACCCTTTCTTCACTCTCGCAAAGTCAAATGCCATTTGTCTGTAGGAAAATGCTTTTTCATTCAAGTATCTACTATAACGCCTTATAAAGGTGGACATGTCATAACCTGCAAAAAAGTTACACATTTTACATTTAGTTTTCATGCTTGATTGGAGGTTCTTTAATAAACAACAGTATGCAGTCAATAGACCCTAAGGTTATGTGATCTCTATATAACTTCACATACAGAACAAGGCTCACAAGACATCCTCCAGCTTCTGAAGAAAAAGCAGTATTGCTGCATCAAAACAGTCTACTGCTGTCCTCTACTTCCAACAGATTCATCCAATGTACCAGTGGCATGGTTCCTGGGGAAACCTGCTAGCGGTTCCTGCACAGTTATGTGATAACATTACTTGATGACAAAATTAGTTACCCCTCTATTAATGGGGAAAAATGATTTTTTAACAAAAAGTTTTGATTTAACTGGTACATGACTTCCAGGATGAAGACTGATTTCAACTTAAACACTCCTGCTATTTTGAGCATATCAGTGCCTCTTACACGGATCTTCAGAATTCCCCTGATGAGGTTTACCTGAACAAAGAAATTATGATGGCATGCACAGATATTAGTGCCGCCTTTAAACTGTTATACCAGAGATCTTCAAGGCACTTAATACTGTACAAGCAGCCTCAAACTTCAGGTGACCTTCAATCAAGCCTGTAAGATTTCTGAACAGTTAGCATTACAATCTATCCTTCAGGCATTTCTTACAAAGTTTCTTCTAAGCTACAGAAATGTGTGCAGAAGGCAACTCATGCTCCTCTTCAGTACCAGTGCCGTTAACCTGTGTTAAAATCCACACCCCTCAACTTAGTCATTGACTGTATTTTTCCTTAATATCTCTCAACATCAAATATCTCTGCCAACTCAGGCTTACCAACACTGATGCCTCATTATTTATGACACACTGTTGTATCATCTATGAAACGGCAATTTAATTTTTAAAGAAAGTGGCAAAGAACACAAAGGCATGCATTTAACAGAATTCATTGTTGCCAGATACCAGTATCTTTGAACACGCACAGCATGTTTTGCTTAGACAAACAGTTTTAATATTTGTTTGGCTTTGTTCCTGCCCTGAGTTACCACTTCTAAAAGATGATCAAGTCCTTTCGGTGTCATGTCTCCATCAAGAGATAGAGTAACATGGCATTGCTTCAGTCTTGCCCATTATTGTAGCATTCCTGCATTCTGCATACAGTTACAAATATTCTGACAGCTGCAGAATTGTAAGCTTTCTCTCTTCTCTAGTAGAGCTACCATGAAACAAGCTTTTCCTCTATTAAATGAAGGAATGTTAGAATTTACTAATGATTCCACAGTCAAGGTAGAAAAAGAGACTCTGTAAGCTTTAGAGAGAAACCCTTAATTTCTCCCTAGACCTTTCTAAATTCACTACTCAAATCAAAACCAGATAGTTCTTTTGGTGCCCCCTCTCCCCAGTTATACACTTATAGACAATTCCTAAAAAGTGCAGTGTCCCCAAGCAACCAAATTGCTGTTTATGACTGAGTAAAAACCAAAAAACTAAATGAAAAGTCATCCTTAACTCCCATAACAGTTAAGGAGATAGATGACCCAGTCCTGATTTCTACCAGCACTTTCTAATGGAGTTGCACTTTCACCTTCTGAGTAAAAATTTTGCAGGAACTGAGAAACAGTGTTTTGAAGTTGTCCAGCAGTTCACTTGAGCTCCAGTAGTCATAAGGTACGTATAAAAAGGCTTCAGTAGTACATTTTTATATTATTTGCATCTTATGAACGAAGGAGCAAATTAACAATACTATCTTATTTAGAATCTTGTTAATATTATAGACATGAGTAAGCTTACCATGAGATCCACTTTTGTCCAGAAAATTGCTGAGATTGAACAATGTGTTTCTAGATGCCAGGTACTGAATAAATCTCTGCAACACAAAGTTACTTTCTTATCACAGGCTGTATCTGAAGGCTTTGTACCTCCTAGCAGTAAGATTACCAGTCTAGTTTCAGCACACACACATGAAAACCCAGATTTTTGTGTTAGCCTGCAGTACCTTCCTCGAAACCTTTCTCGTCCATTTGGAATAATTACATTTAGCCTGAATCTCTACTAAATATCCTACTGTATACAAAAAAATAGATTCTGTGTGAAATACAAACCAGATTGTTGAAGGAGCAATAAAAGAGGTTAATTCTCAGAGATTTGAGGAAGCAAAAAGATTTATCTGCTTACAAAACAGCATATCCAGGCCAGTACCAGACTTTTCAATCCAGCAGCCTGCAGTTTCAGCCAAGTTGAGGGCCTGTTTTAATAACAAGCAGGCCCCACATCAAGTACAGGGACTAACAGCCTGAAACATTTACAGAAAGCAAATCAGAATATTGGCCAAAAACCTGGAATGGAAAAAGGACAGGAGTAAAAATTTACACTGTGACACTGGAGAAGTTAATTTCACGAAAACACTTTATATACACAGCCAGGGAGGAATTGTTTCACATTAATACTAAAGCTCTTTAAGTATGCTTTTGGATTTTACACAGAAATACCAGTCTATACAGGTCAATAAAAAGCAAAGGCAAGAAAAATGCCATCCAAAAGGCTATCAAGTTGAATTTACAGCTCTAGGAAGATTTTAACACTCATGCAGAGAGGGCAGCTGTTTGGATGGCTGTACACATGTGCCAGAACATCAATTCTGACTCTAGTGAAAAAGTCCCAGGTAGTCTTTAATCCTGTGTAGCTCTGTTTTCAGATAGTGCATAAATTGCCAACATCCTGAAACAGGCTGTTACTTGCTCTTACGCTATGGTTTTGTAAATGAAGAGACAGATAGTTGGCATGCCTTCAACTAAATTGTTAAAGGTAAGTTTGTTCCTCATCAAGTATCATTCCTGCCCTTTGTTCTCAGGTCCTTACTGGTTCAGAAGAGATGCCTTTGCACTGCTAGTGATTTTGGCTTGGAGCCCCCTCAGTCCCAGTGTGGTCTTGAGAGAAAGTTGATTACACTTACCTCATTGCCATGAACCATTAGATGATGCGTGGTAACTAAAGCTTTGAATACAACCACCCAGCTACTATTTGTTGCTCGCTCAAAAAGCGTATCAGCCATCTGAGGAATATTAACGTTTGTTTCATTAGTTGCTTGGATCAAGTCTGTAAGAGAGAAAAGGGAGGTGTTAGATGCTACAAGACAAATTTGCAGCATGGCCAAGCTCTCAGCCCACCAGGCTGCAGGCCTTGGATGTGACAAACAGCAAGTTCAGTGCTTACATGCTGTATTGACAAAAAACAAACAAACAACAAACCAACCAACAAAAAAAAAAACCAACCAAAACTGAGATTGTATTAGTATATGCTGACAGCAACAGTGGTCTGACTCTTTTGTCCAACAGTACTAGCTTTCCAACAATTCTGCCCTGAGCTATGTCCCAACTTTTCTCCATCTTCATCCCAGATGAAGTTAGGGTGCATAATATCACATGACTTTACTGTTTGTGAGTTTTCAAGTTGATTGTGGTGGTTCACTACCTCTGGGTTAGATGAATATTATTGAATTCTTCACTTACAGCTAATATGTCAAGCACACTGACCCCAGTCACATCAGCAAAAAGAGTTATCACCAGAAACAGATACTCTAGTCACCTCAGCAGTTAGAGTTTCATCAGCATGCTACAGCACACTTCCAAGAGTCTCTACAGACCTAGACAGCAGAAGAGTACATTCAGGCATGCAACCTCTTCAACAGTAGCAAAGAAAGCAAGGATAGACATTAGTTTATACTGAAGAATAGTAGTCCTCTGCAAGCAACTGCACCTTACATAGAAGAAATAAGACATTAGACTGTCTTAGGGAATAAGAATAAAATACAGCATTGTGTCCTGTATGTTAGGAAGGTATAGACTTGCACAGGAGAGTACATGAAATTAAGATAAGTACTTAAATCATAAGCAGTAGAACAGCAAGATTTCCACTAGCATCTATATCCCACATCTACTGATAGGATCTTTGATTTACTACATCACCTATTACATACAGACTCTCGCTAGGTGGCTAGCAATGACCTTCTACAAGTTATTTTTGAAACACAGCTGGAAAATGCATACTGAAACTGCATGACCAAAACCTGTGTGATGCCAGACACAGCCCTAGCGAGATTGTAGGAGATGACTTCATACAACACAAACAGCACAGAATACAGACCTAATTATAAAGCTGAGGCTTAAAGTTTGAAGACCTAAGTAGAAAAAGTTAAAAATTAAAAAGTTTAATTACTAGACTGAGCATTATCTGTGTTACTAACTAAAATACTCACCTTTTACTTTCCCTGGGATGACAGTAACCATTGTTAATAATTTTCCACATATTTCTTTCCCCACGCCCCCCAGACTAGAAATATTCATCCAACTATTCAAGTTATTCAGTGATGACAGATATTCTACCCTAGAAGCACACAGGCTATTCTGTGACTGATCCTTACACACCTGAACTACGAGAGTCTGCTGTAAACACTACAGAAGTTCAGTTCACCTGGGCAGCAGGGTCACCACTTTACAGACTTGCTTTCCCTCCCCAACACAAGCCCATATAATGGAGGGCATTATTGCTGCTAAAAGTGCAGAAAGTGAAGTTTCAGTTCCGTGAAACTACTGATTGTGCCTCTGCAGGGCAGGAAAAGTCCAGAGGACAGGTCTGTCTGAACAGACCCATGAGTCACATCAGCTACTGAGAACCACCTGTGTGTGTTCAGAAACCCACACTGCTGTACCAGAAGCATTCAGAAGTTTAGCAACTTTTTTTTTTTTAATTCATGGCGAGTAATTTTTATGGTTTTCTTCTGTTAAACAGACTCACTTAAGATACAAGAAAGCTATAGCTCAGAGTCATAAGCCTGTGAAAACTGCACTGCTTGTATTTAAAATTGTCTTGTATGAGCAAAATCTGCAAGTCGTCTTCAGTTTCAAGTCAGTGGAATGATGTTCTGTAGTGAAACAGAAGACAAAAATTATGTGATCTGTTCACCGAGTTTAATTGTAAAATGTTTGTTGTCATGGTGTTTTTTGTTTTGGTTGTGGGTGTTGCCTTTTTTTTTTTTTATTTTGCAGAACACCTTTTGAAACGTAAAGTTAACTTCAATAACCTCAGTAATACTACCCTTGAAGGAGGCAGTTCTGCAGACAAAGTATTAGAGTAGTAAAGCCACACTACTGAATGACAGCAATTCAAGCCCACAGAGCTCCAAGAAGTCTCCTTGACCTTGTTGTACAAACAGGCCAATAATCTTTCATTTTGTACTGCTGATTAATGCATTATAGAAGACAGTGGTTTGTAAAAGCCCAGAAGCAACTCACAAGTGGCTTGCTCGCCATTTACCCCATTCAGAGGTTTTACTGAAGATGACAGCATTTGTCTTCAGCATAAGGAAAAATGCATCAAATTTGCAAGCTTTCAGTCCTAAGTCTCAGTACATAGCTCACACTATGGAAGAGGGGTGCTATAAACTGTGTATTCCACCAATGGATGTTAGAAAATGAAACCTCAGGAGTCCACCACGGCAATGCTGGCAACAGGGGCTACAAGGCGCTACTCCCATACGCTACCCCAGCACCACTTCTGAAGTTGCTCGGACATTTCTGCCTCCTCTCCAAACTGCTGCAGGGTACGGCAGTCTGCAGCTCTGAATGTTTCAGGACACGAGTAATTACAGTGTGCTGAGTAGAGAGGTATGATTAAATTTAAGCCTATTACTTTCAGCGCACAAAAAAAAAAAAAAAAAAAGAAGTAAACCACACAAAGATTTTACTCATCATTTGAGGGGGGAAAAAAGGAGATGGGGGCTTAATTCCTGCAGAGCTGTTTCTCATTAAGTCATGCCACAAACTTAAAGAATTCAAGCTTTCTGTGTTTCTTTGCCCAATACCATAGTTTCAGCTTAACCAGCAATCATCAGCATCTGGAGCAACTCACAAGCATAGCTAACTTTAACAAACTCTGAGCAGCGGAGTTTGGTGGCTAAATTAAATTTTAAAGTAAGATTTGGCAAAATTAATTTGACTTCAGTGTATTAGGGAAGAATATGTACAAGGAAAAAGAAAACACATACAAGAAAAAAGAAAATCTGAAAACTACATTTTTCAAAGATACAGATTCAGATATTTACTGGTAGAACAGAAACTTAGTTTTCAAAAGAAACAATGAAAGTCGGTCTTCCAAGCAAGTCACAGGTGGACTTGTTAATACAAAATCGATAATATTAAGAAGTACCAGATGAAGAACAGCCCAAAGGCCATATGAAGCAATGTTACAAAGTTGATACCATTTGGTTTACACACAAGTAGGACAAACAAGGATTAAAGGTACCTTCCTGATGAAGTTTCTGCTACTGGAGGCATTCATGCCAAGTGCACTGACAGCTAATCCGCAAATCCAGAAACTGAGCCCAAACACAAATTCCAAGCAGAATAAGAAATCAGGAACTGTACAGCAGTAGCAGCAAGTGCCTTCATTGTGACTTTCACAGAAATGAAGTACTTGGAGAATGACGACCTATCTATCCTTTATTTAAATCCATTTGTTTGCCATAGGACTAAATTATAATTGCCAAATCACGGTACACGATTTCCCCTATTTCCTCTCTTCACATTTTGATAGATGCTATTTTGAACACTTACTTAGTCTAGAGATCCTTGTGTGAATTATAACTTGGACTTCAATACACTTTTTCTAGTTAAGTTTTGAGATGCAAAACCAATGTACATAGAAGAAATAAATGGATGTCAATTCTTTGACACCGTAACTTAAATCTAAACACCAGTCTTTAAACTCTTTGACTGGCCAACTTTTTGATCCAGTCTTAAGACATCAGCAATTAGGGGAGAGAAACAAAGCTAGAGTATGATTAACACCTAATAAAAAGACAAACCTATCAAACTGAGGAAGATCAGTAGAGGGTTCAGTGAGGAAGACTTAAGTAAGTGAAGACACCCTAGTTCTTCGTGACCTTTTAAACAGATCATTAAAAGATGTGACTAGTTTAGGTGTTTGTTAAGCTTGTAAGGCAAAAAAGAGAACCGCAAGAAAGTTTCAAAGTCTTCACAATTTCCAACTTCTTCAATCTCATTAAAAATTACTTCTAGTTTTTAAGTTTTAATTTTTTTAATGAGAGAGATTATACAACACTTTAAAGAATCTCTTATTCCTTTTCCATTTCAGATCGTATTCTGGATCTAGGCAGGGTTTTTTCCTGTTTTGTTTCAGGTTTGTTTTTTTTTTTTTTAACTGAATTCTTTAATAAACAGACCTGGGATTCCCTAGTTCAAAGTTAATTATTCACAATCTATATTTCAGTATGTAGAGAAACAGCACCAGAGCACAAGACCTCTCTGTTCAAAGTGATATTGGTGCCAATTTAAGAGCAGCTGTCATTCCAGGCTGAATTAACATGCGAGCTACCTCAGCATCTGAGCTGTGTCATACATTCAGTTCATAAACTTTGTCAAATTTCTCTGACAGTAACCCCCATATAGACTTTCCTCACTGTTACACTGAATGCTACAATAGTTTTCATAAGTTCTTTTTTCTCGCTTGTAAGTATTTAAATAATTCTTTGAACCTACAGCAAAGGAAATGCAGAATTGTTCCAAATCCAGGCTAGTCAAGAACAGAAAGAAGTGGCTTAAAGTAACAGTTTATAAGCCTCAACCAAAAGAAGTTAACTAGGCAAGTAAAATACAAGTCCTCCCTTGCAAAACACAGAACCATGCCAGGAAGCTACTGCATCGTTGTGCTAACCAATGCAAGAGCTGAACTTCCAGGTCTACAGAATACTGACCACAAATCAGTGCTGGAAAGCAGAACAAAGTTACCGGTTTCTGCTTCTACATTAATTGCTCATGAGAACATTATAGGATTTCAATGTTGTTGACTTTCACTATCACATAATTCCACAAACAGGAACGGGGAATTTATCTGTGGGGTTAAAGATTTCCATCTACTCTTTTCAGCCTCAGTTTGCCCCATCTCCACAAACATGCATTACAGTCTGGCTTGTAATAATCTCCCCAAGTGGAACAGCAACTCATGCTGTCTCTTCTTTCCTCCCCAAAAGTCTACCTCAAGAGTTACTACATCTCACCTTGACTCCAGCAAGCCTACCC